GAAATTGAAGCGAGGCTTGCGTAATTCCAAATCGATCTATTTAAACCTGTGTAAACGGAGAGACAGATGTCGCTGTGGCCATTACGAGAAACCGTTTTGTGCGAATTTTTAACATTATAACGATATTAATATTACAATAATTCCTTATTAGAACAATTGGTTCCTAGCGAGGTTATGTTACCGGAAAGACGATTAAGATCTACCCTTTCTTATTTTTATTTCCACGTAACGGTCAACAGATAGGATAAAATATACACGGATCTGTCAAATTTACAACATAACGGAAAAATTATCAGACATCTTGAAATGTTCATATTCACGAATTAGAATACACTGCTATACATTTACAATGTATAGCACATCACAAATCGTGGTAGAACTGTAATCCAATGCGAATCTGACGCAAATAATTTATCCTCTCTGTCTTCTAAGTGATAAATAATCGATTTTATGTTCCATACCGTTTCGGGGAACCTCGAACTTCTGCCGAACGCGGACCCTGTTCTAATTTGGTTATGTGTGTGAGTGATCACATTACTTCTGTGTTTGGTCGAACTTTAGACACAAATCCCAATAATTATACCGATATTCTACCACAATTAACGAAGTACCACGGAAAAAAACGGCTTTAGAACTAGTTTAAAATTGTAATTGACACACGACGATCAACAAACTGACAATCAGTGCACCGAGCGCGCCAATTCTAAAAAACTGGAGGGTAATGGTTGCAATGTCACCGCAACGCTATCTAGTTTGGACCGCGCGAACTATTTCAAATTTATGACGTCACAGAAAAATTGTCAGACATCGTGAAACGTTCAATTCACGCATTAGAGTACACTGCTTGCATTTACCACGTGAAGTACATTATAAATTGTGCTAGCACTGTGATCTAATGTAAATTTGACGCGAAAGTGTATCCCCTCTGTTTACTAAATAATAAATAATCGATGTTACGTTCCATACCATTTCTGGGAACCTCAACCTCCTGCTGATCGCGGATCCCCCTCTATTTTAGTAATATAGTCACGTTATTTCTGCGTTTGATCGAACTTTCTACACAAATCCAAATAGCTGTACCGATGGTCTAACACAATTAACAGCATACCACAGAAAATACCGGTTTCAGAACGTTTAAAACTGTAATTAACAGACGACGATCAAAGAAGCGACACAGTCACTGCACCAAGCGCGGGAATTCTAAAAAACTGCGCAGGGGGGCAGGGTAACGGCCGCAATGACACCGCAACGCTATCTAGTTTACAAGGCGCGAACTATTTCAAATTTTTCACGAACTGTCAAGTTTACGACGCAACAGAAAAATTGCGAGACAACTTGAAACGTTCATGTTTCACGGATTAGAGTCTACTGCTAGAATTTACCATGTGTAGTAGATTATAAATCGTGCTAGCACTGTGGTCTAATGTAAATTTGACGCCAAGGTGTATTCTCTCTGTTTACTAAACAATAAATAATCGATTATATGTTCCATACCATTTCTGGGAACCTCGAGATCCTGCCGATCGCGGACCCCTCTCCAATTTAGTGATATGGTCACGTTATTTCTGCGTTTGATCGAACTTTATACACAAATCTAAATAGCTGTACCGATAGTCTAACACAATTAACGACGTACCGCGGGAAATTAAGGTTTCAGAACGTTTCAATTGTAATTAACACACGACGATCAAAGAAGCGACACAATCACTGCACCGAGCGCGCGAATTCTAAAAAACTGGCGTGGGGGTCGTGGAACGGTCTCAATGATACTGCAACGCTATCTAGTTTAGAATGCGCGAACTATTTGAAATTTTTCACCGACAACTTGAAACATTCGTGTTCACGAATTAGAGTGCACTACTAGAATTTACCATGTGCAGTACATTATAAATCGTGTTAGCACTGTGGTCTAATGTAAATTTGCGGTCAAGGTGTATTCTCTCTGTTTACTAAACAATAAATAATCGATTATATGTTCCATACCATTTCTGGGAACCTCGAGCTCCTGCCGATCGCGGACCCCTCTCCAATTTAGTAATATGGTCACGTTATTTCTGCGTTTAGTCGAATTTTATACACAAATCCAAATAGCTATCCCGATATTCTAGCACAATTAACGACGTATCGTGGAAAATAACGGTTTTAAAACGTTTAAAATTGCAATTGACACACGACGATCAAAGAACCGACCCAACCAGTGCACCGAGCGCGCGAATTCTAAAAAAGTGGTGGGGTAACGGTTGCAAGTTGCAATGCCACCGCACCGCTATCTAGTTAAGAATGCGCGAACTATTTCAAATTTTTGCTCAAATACGAATTTTAAACTGCGAATGTTTATACATTTATAGCGTTTCCTCGTACGTAAAGCGTATTAAAATAAAGATTTTAATAGATTTTAATATAATACATATGTTATTACTGATAATTAAAAACTGCTAGTACAAGAATTAAGATTCAATTCAAACCGTATCATTATAATAATTTATATGTATATATATTAGTGTTTGAAGCAGTGAATTTGCATAAATATCCGCAGTCTAATGGTTTTTATTGTTTCTAGTGATTGAATTTGACATAAAGCACATCTATGACACAAATTGTCCCGTGTTCATTTAAAATTGGTTATCGACGCCCGTTCGTTTCAATTCATTTAATCGTTGAATTCCTGTTTCTCGTAATGGTCACTTCATGAATTCCATTCGAGCTTATGCACGGCTTAAGAAAAAGTGTACGAATTCACCATGGAACCTGGATCGGGTGAGACTTCCATTATTGTTACGGTCAAACATTGCGAAACGAATTCGACAGGGACACTTCATTGATTCCTTCTTGTTCCCCGACGCTTAATAATTGTTTTCGAGTTCGTTATCCTAATCTGTTGTAAGTCAATTACCGTAAACTGTAATTAAAAATACGGATTATAGAATTCCATTGCACCGTAACGCAGTTACGGTTATCGTCAGTGACATACTGTGTATATCCTACGTGTTTTCGACGTTATTGATTTGTCGATTAAATAACGTTAAGGGGTAACTACCTCGTACAGGATAATTGAAAACTGTTGTACTTAACTGCACCGATGCATACCGACAAGAATGTTCGTGGCAGTAAAACAATGATTGTTATTAAGGTTTGTGCACAAACCGGAATTAACTGAACCGTTTAAAATGAACACAAGGTAAATTACTAAGCGACAATCAGATTTGTCCCCCGGGGGTACAATTATTCCTGCCAGTATGTCTGTGTTTGAACGTAACATTTCGAAATTGAAAGTTTTTACTCCTCTGAACGAAACCAGTGGCAAAGACATTAACGGAATTTGAGTGGGATTTGCATGTCCCGTAAATAACCTAGAGATTTTTTCCTAGAGAATACAGGTGGACGCCACGATCTGATTCTTTGGATGAAAACCGAACTCGAAGCTCTGTTCTATCCAAAAATCACTAGTTTTCAGGTCGCGAGTCCCTCCTGAGAATTCGGTAGTTGCAATCAGAGAGTACGTGGACTGGGGAAAATATCACAGCTGGCCCCCGGAACTGTTGAAAATCGAAAATAAAGAAGGGGCTTCGAGGGCCTTCGAGGAACAGCACGCTCGTCCCAGCTACGATTTTCCGTATTTTTTTTTTTGTGCCTTCTTGCACGGTATCGACGAATCGCGGTCTATGAAATTGTAGAAAAAATGATACAAACAATAGCCTACGACCTACGACTATAGGTCACTAGAAACGTTTTCTCTCGAGAACCGAGCCGGGACGACCGAGTTTTCCGTTTGCGCGCGGTACGTTCATATCATACATGTACATTCTGTAACTAATAATAATATTAATCGTATGATCGTCCCTATTAATATTATTATCATTGGCTCGCACGCTAGACCGATCGCTGTGACGGTGCGCCGAAAACAATACATTGTCTCTGATCAACGACGAATAGTCTGTGCATAAGAACACAGGTTTTTAATACCGATTAGGAATCGTTCGTATAAGAAAAGCTGGAATTTCGAGTTCCCTACAGTCGCCAAGGCTTTAGAGGAAGATTACGATCAACTTCCGATCGAAACAATTCGTCAACGATGGAAACTGTAGAATCGAGGAGAACCGTTTGCATTTGAAGCTTCGAGCGTCAAAGCCGCCTATGTGTGAGATTTGCTTGAAAATTCATTTATGGTCGAGCGCACAGGCACAGCAATTTTTATTTCTACTTATGTTAAGGAAAGCGTGTCGTGGTCGCACGAGGCTTCGGAATTTTTGTTCGAAACACTACTTTATACAGGGGAATTACAATCACAGATCGATTCACCGCGTAAATCTTCCGAGCGATCGCGGTGCTCACTTTTTCAGCTCGTGATAGGATATCGATGCTTCGTAAATTCAAAGTCTATCTGGGTGGATTTCTTCGGTCGCTAAGAAACTAACATCGAGCTACGAGGACGGCGTTGTTACGTCCGTCGGTTGCTCCTTTCTTTGTGCAGCAGGAAACCGAATACATTGGGACTTGTACTCGTCGGATTAACGTTTCGGTTCAATAAACAACGACATACACGACTTACGATTTAAAACTTGATAGAAACACGTACCACCATCCCGAGGATACAAATACAGTACCGATTACAACTTTGTTTAACCCGGCGGCGTGCGCGTTTGCTTTGTTTTCAAACAACCGAGATCTCGGTTCCGGGCTAAACACTCGGACCACGCAACGAAGATATACGATCATGATAAATACAACGGCTAAACATCTGAAACAATGTGAACCCACCAAATTGCAACAGGAAGATACCGGACGCGGTATGGATAGACTTTGAAATCATCTAACCGTGGAAACCCAAAGGATACATCTAGTTGATTCCTGAGACCTTCACGACATTCACGAAAAACAGTCTGATATGAGGAACCGTACGCAGAATCATACCATCTTCGTACGCGAATTGAAGCCTCGCACGAACGCGGTGCCGTAATGTCGTTAAATTTCTTAAAATAATTTTCTTTTCTCTCTCTACTGTCGCCACGCGTCGCATCGATGGCTCTCACCGGCGAGAAGGCGCCCCATTTAGGACACATCATCGATCGTTCGCGGTGAATTACGTTTTATCACAACTGATTACTTTCAATTGTTCGTCGATTCGATTCGTTTTTACAAAAGCTACCGGTTAAATCGTCTAAAGCGAGTACGCTGATGTAATTTTTTCTCTCCCGTAAGTCTAAAAAATGATACACGTCGAGTTTCGTTCTGATTGTTCGTCAAAAATCGTTAGTCTTGTTACCTAAATGTTTCGATCGATGAATACTTTTTTTCTTTCGTTTTTTTCACGTGGGGCAAGGTCCTGTCTGCCCCGACGGGGAGAGCCATCTTCAAGCGAACGGCGTGACTTAAATCGTGGACCATTTATCGAACAATCGTATGTATATTTAATTATTCCGCGTCTCCGGCGTCCGTTCCACCGTCGTCCTGATCGCCGCCGACGTCGTTTGGCGTTTCCGCGACATTTCCCGACGATTCCTCGTTCTCCGCTACTTCCTCAGCCTCCTCGGCCGGTTCTTCTGCGATTTCTTCGAGGGACTGCTGCTCGGTCATTTCTATTCGTCCCTCGGATTCCTCGTCAGCAACATCCGGCTGTTCCGACGCATCGTCGAATTCCTCGACGACTTCTTCAACTTCTTCCGCATCCTCTACTACCAGTTCCTCCTGAACGACTGTCTCTTCATTTTGAAAAGCGTTCAGCACCTTCTGTTCGATCGTGAGTTGCCTAACCGCGTTCTCCAAGTTGTCCCTCAATACGGTGCTCGATTCGTTCTCCGCGTCGTGCCACGTCGACGGCATGAACGTCATACGAACCGTTTGATACAGCTTCCCGAATCCCAGCTTCTTGTACAGGTTTTGGCTAGCTTCGTTCTCCGGGCGTATCACTACGAAAGGCCGGTAGCCCCTTTCGGCCACCCGTTTCGTCAGGTACCTACGATATATCGTGAACATGAATTAGACAAACGATTCCTTGAATATCAAACAAGCAACAGAGACACTAAGCATTCTTCTGTACAGTAAAAACAGTCGTCTCGGATACTCCCATGCACACAAACCGCAATTACATTCTATTTCGTGCGCGAAACAAATAGATTCTCTACCTTGCTAATTTCGTTCCGTAACCCTTCCTCCGGTATTGCGGCTTGGTTTGCATGGAGAACATCGCCCCGTAATAGGATTGCACCATCCAGGCGGCCAGGCTGCCTTTGCAGAACACACCGGCCGCTGGTAGGGATCTGATCAACCGCAGAAAAACCTCGTGACACTCCATATCGTTCGCCGGATACAGTTCGTGGATCGCCTCGGCGTGTTCCGCCTTCAACGGCAGCACCTGAACATCCGGATTGGCCTCGTCATCCGGTTCCAACGCGTCGTCGACGTTCCCCGTGTTCTCGCAAACGAAAACATCGCCCACCACCCTCTCGATGGTTCCGGTGTCCTCGTAGAGACGGGTCAGCTCCTCGGCGATGTCGTAATGAACGAAATTGATGTAGAGCGGCTTCGACCAGTCAATCAGAATGTCTTCGTCCCTCAGCAACTTGAGCAGCTCCAGTCGGTCGTTGGGACAAAAGACGCCCACGCTCTCGTGGAGCAAACCGTGGGGCTGAAAGACCAGTCAAGTGTAACAATGTTAGAAGGAAATGATCGTTCTTCGAAGGGGGGCATGTATGTACCCTCGCGAGCAAACTCGGCTTCCGCTAGGGGAAAAAGCGATGTAGAAGAAAAGTCTACCACTTGGTAAATTTATTCCAGATAGTGAAATAAATGTTAAATCGAATGTTAATTTGGTATACATTTCAGTAATTCTAAATACCAAGTGGTAGGAGGCCTTTTCCCTACGTTACTTTTTCCCCTAGTGGAAGCCGAGTTTGCACGCTAGTGTACACTAATGAGCAAAGTCGACTTCCACTAGGGGGAAATATAGCGAAGGGAAAGGGCATCCCACCACTTGGTAAATTCATTTCAAGTAAGTACTGAAACAAATGTTAAACCGAATGTTGATTTGGTATAAATTTCAATAGTTCCCGAAACGAAGTGATAGGAGGTCCTTACCCTACGCCACTTTTTCCCCTAGTGGAAGTCGAGTTTGCTCGTCGGTGTACACTAATGAGCAAAGTCGACTTCCACTAGGGGGAAATATAGCATAGGGAAAGGACATCCTACCACTTGGTAAATTCATTTCAAGTAAGTACTGAAATAAATGTTAAACCGAATGTTAATTTGGTATAAATTTCAATAGTTCCCGAAACGAAGTGATAGCAGGTCCTTACCCTACGCCACTTTTTCCCCTAGTGGAAACCGAGTTTGCACGTTAGTATACCAAGGACTAAGGAAATTGTAAAAGGCTTAGACTGGCAGACGCGCATTAATTATTTATCACGCGATACTTTGTGGTACGTTCACAACGTCTCTGTTTGTGTGTTCCGTTGACATCCAACGGGTACCAAATCGTTACTCGACATACTGCAAGCTTTCGTTTCCAGGCTTTAATTAATTTCACCCGATTCCAAGTGGGGGACAGTCAGGGGGAGAATGTGTCGTGGGTACACGAGACACGTCATAATTTCGCCACGGATTGGCGATAAATTCGCCCCGAAAATGTCAAGGTTCACGACGACTTTTTGATTTATAAAACGGCGAAAGGACACGGAGAAAATCGTCGAATCAACAAATTGCCGCCGCGCGATAATTAACTAAAGAGCATACAATCAACGGGGAGGGGGGGGGACGGCGGCCGGATTAGAGGAGTCACCGGGCGAAGACAGGAAATGGACTGGCAAGGCTACGAAACAAAAAGGTTGGCCGAGAGCCAGACAAGGATGTGGGCCAACTTTTCCGCACCCTTGCTGATACGTTTGTAGGCAAGATGAATTTGCGGGACGCACGCGACGCTACGTGTATATTCACCAACAATTTCACCGACTTTATTCTCAAATTTTCAGTGGATTTGGATTCCCGTTTATTCATCCTCCGACGCGTTTAATAAATTCGCCATCGAAAAACACGAATTTAAAATTAAAATTCGATTGGTTCATAGTTTGAAGATTGGAGAGAATCATGGCAAGCATTCGTCCGTCCAGGAAAGATTGCGACTGGATGATGTTCGATATTTCTCAATCTCTATCTCTCCCCACGATGCAACTCGGAAGGGGATGGTCGCCGCGGGGAATTGTATCGTGAGCGTAGCGCCGCGGGGCGTTTATCGATCGCGGTCTAGCTGTAATCTAAAACGAATAGGGGGGACCTTATTTTATACTTACGGATAGCGTCATACCCGGAAAATGCAGGCAGATGGCATCCTCGGGCCAGTCGTTGGCCACGTAGAAATGAAAGTCCCATACCTTGTCACGCATGTAGGTCAGCAAAGTTTGATGGAACTGTGGAACAGAGATAGGCTAGTAGAGTTATCGTGTTGTAAGCCACGGGACAAAGTGTAAAGTTTGTTTTCCTTTCTAAACACGTTTATCCCTACCCTTCCTCCTCCCACCTGGTCCCCGATAAGCGAGTTACTGCAGGTACACCAGGGGGGGGGGGATAAGGAAACGAGAAGTAATCCTTTTTTGTAGCAGAGCATACACGGGGGTAGTAACTGGTACACATACAGACACACGGATAGAAACAGCTCGGAGAATCTTTTCATCTCGCGGAAGAATTAGAAAGGGTACGACAGGGGTAGTTAAAGGGATGGTTCCTTTTCATGGAGCACGCTGACTAAAGCCAGTGTCTGAAATGAAAGGGTGGATATTTACGAGGAAGCGGGCAGGATAAAGAGGAATCTAGCCGGGGGCGACGCTCCAGACGCCCGGGTCTTAAAATAACCACCACGTGCTACCTCTGATACCCTTGTATATAAAGTGTCTTCTTCCCGTTCAACGGAAATCTCCATATTCCTGTCGAGGGTAAAGAGAGAAAAAAAAGGGAACAGGTTCTCTGTATTCAAATATTTCTGCGTCGCGGGGGGATTCTGTTCCAGTTCTCAATCGAACAATACCCTAATGCGGCGGACAAGGAGACACCTGTTTTCGGGGGTCTGGACCATCATCGTTGATCGCTCGACGCTCCCATCGGGAAGAAGGTTCAATCGAATAGTCGTGGATTATTTACGTGGCAAGAAAAGGTATGTAATAAGTACAGTAAATCATCGATGAGTGTCCGAAGGCTCCTCGGCACTTATTGAAATGAAAACAAGTAATTTACTTTTCAAATAATATTTGTTTATTATTACAAAAGAGTGAATAAAAAACTTATAAATTCCAATCTTCTCAAGACAAGCAGGTTAAAAATAATAATTGTTGAAATTGTTATATAGATAAATGATTTCTCTTTTCGGTTGAAATTAATGCAGCTTGAGAAAACAATCTCTGATATGGGATTGACGTCACAATTATTCGTTGTATTTATTCTTTTTTCAAGTAGCTTTCTTTCTTGTAACAAATTATCGATATTTTGACAAAAATTATCGATACCTGTAATTATGACTTTCTACAATATTGATAAAAAAATAACGATATATATACAATTATCGATAAATGTCGCCCATTACTACCCCTTGTGGTGGGGATGATGTCTGAACACAGTGTCGTGAAGCCTTCGAACATTCATCGATAATTTACTGTATCTCAGTACACAATCTTCTCGTTGAAAGTAAATAATAATCAATCATAAGGGGACTAGCGCTCAAGTATGCGAAAAATATTATTGCTGAAAAAAACAGTAAATTAAAACTTATATAAATTTTAATTATAGGTATCTGTACATAATAATATATACTCTTGCGTTTAATCAATCTCTCGGTAGAATCATCTTAGCTGAACAGATTTCGTGGTTCAGCCTGTATACAGGGACAGATTTGCAAAATTTCCGCTGTGGACACGACACATCCGAAACCGGCTCTGTGTTTTATTTTACGAACGTTTCTAACGGATGATCGGCTACCAGATCATCTCGAACAGAAAGTGTCTGTTTTTCTGTCTTTTTCTATTTTCTTTTGTTCTTCGTCGAGACACTTTTCGAGAGAACAGAGAACGCGACGTAATAAAATGTTTCGCATGCGGCGATGTGATGTGCGACCGGCGTGAATTTACATATCAACCGGCTCCGATCTCGAAAAGCGGCAAGAACCACGATGCAAATGAGAGAACGGTGCACGAATTGTCTCAATTTATTTTGGTGTCTTTGAAGAGGGAAAGAGACCTTTCAGTTATAATCGCAATATCGAGCTTAACACTGAAAACTTCGGCTACGTACGGTGAGGACACACCTCTAACGCGTAAAATTCACTCACGAGGGAAAGTTTGTTTAATATTAGCCTCCCGCCGTGGTTGTTTACCCGGAATAAAGAGAAACGCCGTTTTAATAAACGATCCGTTTCATTTTTTTTTATTCTAGACGAAGCTCGTTCACAACGATGCCAGACGAGCAGGCTCGGATTAAAATTTTTGGAGCCCTGGGCTATCAAACCTTCGGGGGGTTCATTGATTGAAAAACAGAGGAGGGAAGGCAAACAAGATTTAAAAACAACATACAATAAAGTACATAAATCTTCCAAAATTGGAATTTAATCTAAACAAAATTAAATAACATTTACTCATAACGAACAATACTTCGTTACATTTTACTAACATTGATCCGATTTATTTCGACATTCAGTGTGATTTCGAATTATTTCGAAAGGGAAACGGTAAACAAAATTTTATTCAATTATTTTCTGACATCAATGGAAGAGTTAAATTAGGGCACCCCTTGATCCGGCAAACCGAATATCGGTTTAATTGGATCCCCCCCCCCCTCCACCCCCGAGTTTAAAAGTCATGCAACCTAATTTTCACGGTTTAAAGTTAATATTATTACAGAACGGCACGTGAACTCGCCTGAACGCGGAATAAACGAGTCCAGCGACTTTATGGTAATATACAAACGTGTTTCGCCTGAATCGGGTAACATTGCAGACTCGTGGTAAACGTGGTACACGTTTCGTGTTGTTTTTTTGTGCAGAAATTAACAGCCGGATAAATTGTTCGACCTGCTACCAACGAGGTATATAGTGAAACTGATGAAAAATATAGTGCTCGATTGGACGGGATGTGACGGACAGCGAAACGAGAAAGAGAAGATGACACGCAATCCTAAAAGTGCTCCATCAAATGCCCCCCTCGAATCATTATCGAGCTTCAGCCGCAGCTTGTTAAGTATCCTTCGGTGGCGACTGGTAGGCGTGCAAGAACCATCGATTCAAATGCGGGATTCGAAAAACCGACATGGCACATCACGTATGTGTGTGTGCGCGCACATCTGGACACGTCCTTGACCCTGACTTCTTGACGGATACACCAGCTTTATTCCGGGGATAAACGGTGTGCGGGTCTTTATGCGCAATCATTTCGTGCTGGTCAGGCATTACGGTTTTACGGGCAACGAGTAACATACCAGACCGGCGGGCATCGTTCAAAGTCCACCGAATGACGCATACAGGGGAAGCTCGGGGTAGAAAGTAATAGTTTTTTGATTTTCATGAAATAAAAAAAGTCTATATTTTAGGTAGAGATTTAATAGGTTGGGGATTCAAGATTAGTTCTATAGCGACGTAATGTTTTTAGATTGATTGTTCAAATTTCTGACCGTGGAGATTGCCCCACCTTCGGGTGCAAAAGTAACAATGCTGGGGTATAGTTGTAGTACTAATAGATTAAACAGAATTATGCACAATGAGAGACAAACAATAATTTAAACTAGCTAATAATTACAAAGAATCAATATAACATTATGGTTTTATATTTAATTGGCTCAACACAACATTATTTTTTAATCAATAGGTACTCAACATAATATATTGTAAATTGTCTTTTTGTAATTAACACACCATAACATTATTTTCTTAATGAGATTAATTAATTCTCGTAATTTATGGATTATTCGTTATCACAGCACTGTCTCTTTTATTTTGAGAAACTATAAGTCCTGTTGCAATCTACCCCTGTTACTTTTAACCCTGGTCTCGCCTACGGGTAACAGATTTTTTATCGATTCAATAATTTTGTCTCTGGCTCTGGTATCCAGATACATATAGCTGGGAATTCTTAATTAACTTCACGTTGGAATATATAATTAACACTATAACTATCAAACCCATAAAAATAACGGATTGCAGGTTTCTTATTTCACAATTATTAAAGTAATAATAGTGCTTTTGCTGGAATTTATGTTACCTTCTGATTTACTACACTTTTTATACAATACTTTATCACGCTAGATTGCATTATATATTACATAGATTAATAAATTATACAATTTACTCCGGTATACATTCACTGCTAGTACTTCTAATGTCAAGTCTGTCTTTATACGTCTTTGGTGTAGATACGAAATCGTATGAATGCTGCTTCATTACCGATTCGGTAAAAAAAACCGTATCGTCTGAACTGAACAGGAATATGGAAAGAATAACGATCGAACGTCGCATAGGATCGAGATCTACGGATGATCTTGCGGCGAGATTGAAACAAACGGTACCAGATGAACTTCCTCGGATCTATCGTTCGCGAAGAAAAGTTTCCTCGAATCGAATCATGGTATCGAATTCCAGTAACTGGCGAATTCCTGCGGCGATATCGCGGGGCGAGATTACGAGATCGACCCGGTCGAGCGGTTGATCACGGAAACGCGACCCTGGCCTTGACACCCGGTGTACACCTTGCACATCGGTACCGGAATCAAGGTGGCGTGGCCGGCAGTCGTAACACCGGCAGTCCCACCAACCGTCGACGAGCAGGAAACAAAGCTCTTTTAGATCGATAAAACTCTCCGGGTCGAGAGTGAAAGGCGAACGAGAGAAAAAGAGAGGGAAATGGATGCCAGCAGAGTCTGTCTGCAATCGGTTTCGCGCCACTTTCTAACTTCGGCTGGCGAACAGTGTGACCACCGGGCGAAAATATTTCGTACCAACAGGAAAATGGTACTAAATTTGAAAGAAAGACTATAAAGGTTAATTTACGATATTATTACGTTATTATTGAAACATCTGGCTATTCAAATATCCCGACAATGCCATTGGTGTGTGTCAAGTTTGAAATGTAAAGCATAATTTTTACATAACCGGGTCCGAATTACGCGATGAAAATATTTAATTCTTCCAATTGTTTTTTTTTATTTTGTAGTGACTTTATGATGCGCGAAGAAATGTCTGAATAGCGAAGAATAGATTTTCATTCGGACTAATGCCCGTCGGCTTTCTTAAGTTACCTATGGGATCAGAGAGGAGAATGTTAGCGAACAGTGAGAGGGGGAGGAAAAAAGAGAAATCACTCTTGTTTCGCTGAATGTGGGGAGATGGATGAAGAGAAAAATATTAAACTCATATGTCTAACTCTCGTGTTGTTAGTTAACACTAGAACTACCAGCGTTGAATGTATATTAAATTAAATTGTGTAATATTATAATATACACAATATATAATATAATTTAGCATAACACAGTGCAATATAAAATGCATAGTAAATTAAAGGTCAACAGAAATTCCGCCAGAAGCACTATTATAATTTCAGTAATCATAAAATAAGAACTCTGTTATCCATCATTTTGACAAGTTTAGTACTTCTAGTATTAACTTACATTTGTGATTCATAAAGACTTAATTAAAACGTGCAATTATTACGTTATTTACATATTTCCTTAACTTCCCCATGTCGTTACCCTATGTCCGATGTTTCGATGATTCCACTGAAGACATCGGAATTTCGAGGTGAAAAGGGATTTTTCAGCTGGCGTGGGAGATCCGAGTCAAGTTCTGCATAACGGATTAACAGGATATTGACAGATCAATGAAGATATCCCAGGGTGTTATTTATGCATTAGATACTCGAATATTCCGGGTATCGATCACAGTTGCAGAACCACCGCAGTAAAGCGATATCCCGGAGTCATAATGGCACCGCTGTGGCGACCACAGTTATTGCCGTTACGCAAACCGGTAGCCTTTGATGCGTGAAATTTCAGCAATGACACATCGCTATCCCGTTGCAATATCTTTCGAAAGAACATTCGAAATGATCGTGTTTCGTGTATCCGATCGAATACACAGCATGTAACGTGCAACTGCGAAACATAACCGAAAGTCTTGGTGCGAAAAGAGCTGCTCAAGGCGAGAAGGATAAAAATTTAATGATTTTATGAGATATACACAGTGTTCACCAGTTAATATTAGCAACGAAAAAAGCCAACAGAGGTATATCGCCGTGTCCCCGTTGATGTTACATGATTCATGATGAAAAGGTAGGCGAGGCTTGTTGCGAAACTTTCGCCCGTAAACATTCTCGACGACCGATTACACTAGTTTACGGTCATTTGGTGACCGAGGCTCCATTATGAAATTCTTATGTAAGGTGGTCCCCCAAACTCAAAAATCGTAATGATACGTTTTTGAGATATCGCCCGATGAATATTTTGGTAATTTTTTAAAAAGACCCGATGGTTTCGACTATACCTCGCGTGAGAGTTGACCGATTTGATCGCGACTACTCTTAAATTAAAGATAATTTAATTACATACAATTATTTCCTACATTGTTTTCCAGTCGAACCGATAATTTAGGCGGAATCCAGCGAAACTTAAGAAAAATGTAATTTTTTGGGGCCAAAATTAAAATCGAATATTCACCACATCGCTTAAAAAACATAGAAATTATTATATGACGTCCAGTTCGTTATTTTTTACGTAAAAAAGTAATCGAAATAATCATCGGGTCATTTTTTTAAAAAATTACCAATATATTCATCGGGCGATATCTCAAAAACGTATACTTAGGAATTCGTCTCATGTCGATTTTTGAGTTTAGGGGACCACCTTACATAAGAATTTCATAGTGGAGTCTCGGTCGCATATAATTCCTTGGATTTTGTAAACTAGTGTGATCGCGCACCGGTGCGTGATGATCATTTGCGTTAACAGGTGTCCGTGTGAACGTATATCGCGCGGTCGCGGTGGTGATTTTCGTCGCATGAAAAGGTGGATACATAACGTCGTTTGATCGAGCGACACACGCGTGGGTGGTCGAGCTGGAGAACATCCACCAGCATGATCGATAATAAGGCTGAAGTGCCACGAAATAAACACTGGTTTAGTAATCGTTATCGGGTGTACTATAACCGAAGTACACTGCAATCGAGGTATAGGCGCCAGAAAATTGGCAGAGACAGTAACCTAGCAAAATGGAGGCCACAGCAATCCATCGTCCATCTAAAGCGACTACACGCCTGGCGTAACAATCGGGGAACCAATCGGGGACCTGTTCCGTACTGTTTAATCTACAGTAAATCCTCGATGAGTGTTCGAAGGCTCCTCGGCATTGAACATTAAATACAGCGAGAGTCAAAAGTGAGTATACACTTCGAAAGTATGGGATTTATTCATATTTATTTCTCTCAATTAAGAATCTAATATTTCGCACATATTATGATCTATTACATTCAGATCTGGTGACTGTGAAGGAGGACTTAAATGATTGAAAGTGTTTTCCAGCAAACAATGTTTAACCACCTTTGCATATGCAGCTGAATTTATTTCTAAAATATTTAAATATCAAAATTTGTCTACAGTACTATGAATAAAAACAAACTGGCCAACACCAGAGGTTGCCATACTGTCCCAAACTATAATAGTACATTCACGTTCAACGATATGTAAACAATGTTGTGGTCACAACTTCGAATTTCTTTTTCTCGAAATTTTGGTCTGCCTATTCATCCCGAAAATGTTAAAAAGGTCACATCCAATTGTATTACTATCACGATCTCACCATAGTAGGATGCTACAGAAGGATTACTCGACCATCACCTTTGCAAGGTGTATACTTATTGTTAGTTTTAACTCTCACTGTATATATCAGTTGTTAAGCTGCGTCTACGCTACATATCAAAACATGTTATATAGCGAAGTTGTAAAACATAGAGAAAAAAAAAAGAAAAATGTTATATAACGTGATGTTACATAAGATTTTTTCGTGTTATATAACAAGTTATATGTTATCCTCCTAGTATGTCGCTATTGTTAATAATGAGACGCAAAATGTTATACAAACTTATTACAGACTTGTCTAAAAGGTATAGTCTTGTAACAAGTTATAAAAACATGTTGTATAGCAAGGTTATACAACAATTTGTTGTATAACAGTGTTCTGCTATATAGTGTAGACACAGCTTTACACACGCCGTTGCACGCGTGCAGTAACGATCAGGCGACGCTTTGCGATCGCGTAACCAGCCGCCGGACCTGATTCACTTGATCGCCAAAGGATTCGCCAACTCGCCCGGAAACGCTCGCGTGGAACAGCCTAGCAATCTATGTGTGTGTGTTAAAAAAAGAAATCGCGAGAGGCGTGCTCGCGTCACTTTACGACGGGTACGTGCAAATATCGAGGGGTGGGGGGTGGTGAACGCCGCTGCGGAAAACGGCGGTGTACCAGCTGCGACCTTGACACTAACCTAGCGCAACGGCCGACACTTAGACCGGGTTACGGCGGAAATACCGCACGGAGGATCGCTTCCTCCTTTGACCGTAATCTTATATCGTCGATGCGCGGCCACTTGTCCACCCCCCCCCCCCCCCGGGGGGAACGAGGCCACGATATCGTCGCGCACTGGTGCAATATCGTGACTTTTTTCTCCCCCCACCCCTCAAGTTACTACGTCCGACAGACTTCTGAGTGGAAGATTCTCGCGTGGTTAACGTGGGTGTTAATTTTCGTCGAACAAGAGTATAACGGGAACAACACGAAGCGTTCCAAGTTTAGAATAGAAAGTTATCGAGTATAGAACGCGAGGTAGTATCTTCAAGGCCTGTTGGGTTTGCCCGCACGATGACTTAAAGGTGTATATATTAAAAGCGGGAACAGGTGTTCGGTTATGATTCGTGTGAAATTTCTCGGTGGGGTCGATTTAACGCGACACGGTGGTAAATTTTCTGGGAACTTTAGGATTCTTAATCGTGATACATGTTGCTGGCCGACGTGCACCATACGTGGATCTTTCCGTTTATTCGGAAATGACATTCCGTCGTCGCTAGACCTTGGAGAATGATTTAGCATCGTCGTTGTTCGAGAGTAACGGGAAGAGAATGCGGGACCTCTAATTAAGATTCTCGAGTATCGATCGTCGGGATTATTATTAGTCGAACGAAGGATCGTGGAGGGGAGGGAATGGGAACTATTCGGAGGCTCTAAGGGAATCAATTTGCACGGGTAACGAGATGAATTAGATTTTTCTGAAAGGGGAAGATTCGTGGACTGGGATACTGTTAATTAGAGGACGATGTTAGTACGCTACGAGCGACGGGATTTCTGATCGGTTGGTTGGAATTTACCGTGTCTAGGATTTTGGAAGTCCGAAATGATCGAAGACGCTGGAAGTAGCTGGAGGCTTAAAAGGAAGCTCGAGTTAATTGTACAGGGATTTCCGCGTGGATCGATAAATTTCTTTTATTGTGATTTTAAACGCACCTTTAAGGATTCAGGCAAATACCCAGCAAGGAAGTCCAAGAGTTCAGGCAACTCCTCCTCGGCGAGCAGACGAAAGTTCCGGCCTCGTTCCATCGCTTCAGGGCACTCCATGCTGAAACTAATTACCGAGAGATCATTGTGTGCGAGTGGCACGAACTTTCGAACCCCCGGCCGGTCTTCAGCTGCCCATAAAACACGTGACTTCTACGTGCTCGGTCATAACGTGTACCGACGAAATTGCTTTTTCTCCCCCTCGCGGATACATCTAAAAACATCCCGGCCGATTCCGGGGTACGATCCCCGAACGTGAAAACGTGCGTACGGCGTTCCCTCCACCCGAGACCGTTCGATGCCCGTTGAATTCGCATGTAAACAGTCGGAGCAACCCCAAGTCGGACGGGAAATAATCGATTGGGGGCTTGTCTGAGCTGGGAGAAATATCGCACGCGTGGACGAAAACGAAGGAAATGGGCCTGCGATTAGGAATCATTACTGATTATACGTTCTGTATGCGTTGGTATGTATATCGGGGCAACGTTCCTACGCGACGATGATTGCGTAATTACGGGCACTTTTGAACTTTTAAACCTTCCTCGCGACGCTTGGGTCACGCCACCGCAGGCCACAGTTTTGCACCCGTCAAGGTCTGACTTTGACTTATCGCGTGAAGTAGAATGCGCCCGTGCTCTCCCCGCTCGGACTTGTATGCATCATCGTTCCGGCGGTTAATCGCTTCGACCTTCGACGCTGGGAAACGGAGCGTTACCGCTCGTTACAGCGTGATAAATGAATATTAATTCGGCAGATGCGCGGGAAACATTTTTGTACCTGGGAACGCTGAAAGAGCAGGTCGAAGAGATGGTTGTTAAGCTCGACTCGTTAACAAGCCGGAATCGTTTGACAGAATATTCAGGAGAATGTGTACAGCAATAGGATGACGTTATCTAATCCTACCTCTACAGAAGGTTTAACGCAGACTTTAAATAAGTTCTCGTAATCAGAGGCTCAGAAGATTGAAGACTTTAAGTTGTCGCAAGCTTAAGAGTTTCTCGAGCTTCGATCCGAAGACTCTGCTGCGCCGAGTGCCCACAAGAAACAATCGGGACGTCGAAACCCGTTGATATTTAAGGCTCGACGGTGGTAATAAAATAAAGAAACCTTGGTAATTCACTAATACGATAACCGACACGATACGGGTTTGTGTATCTCTTCATCGATGCGTATCGAGTTTAGAACAATTCTACGATAGAATGACTTTAAAAAAAAAAACCGTATAGATCGACTTAAACTCTCGGCGATCACAGCATCCCCCGGTTGTACGCCGAGGGACAATCGAGTCTCTTTATAGACGAGCAACGCGAACTCGTGAACCCTACCGCTGCAGAGAATTACACCGGTGTCACAAGAATGTCATAACAAGAAGCACTACGGGTCGTGACGAGCAACGGGCGATAAACAAGCCTTGGTGAGACGGTAAATCACGAAATAAGACCGTTTCCCAGACCGTATGCGTGGACCGCGAACTTATTTCTTCGGGGCACTACCATTACGAACGATCCGTTTACCTGAACGAACTTGAATAGCTTGATCCTCGATTCGGCAAACTGTGCGACCGGTTGTCACGATCAACGGACACCCGATTGTCGAGGGAAACGAGAATTACGCGGCACAAGATCAGCCGAGGTTGAGAATGGTTGCGGGCTGTCGCCAAGGGGTAGTTCCAACGGAGGCACCCGCCCTCGCCGCCCCCTGAACCCGCACTGCCGCCCCTGGGCCACCGTTACCCTCCATGCACCGAACACCGACGTGGTGGCCATCGCGCAGGCGTCATGGTAACTCATTCCTGTACTATTACCGCCGGGTGCCCCCGGTCTTACCAGGAGCATCCTCGAGGATTACATCGAATGCGGCGAATACCGAACGCGTTGCCTACAAATTGAATCAAAATCAAATTCTCTCTCAAGGCTATTGAGAAATTACTTACGGTGTACGATTTAACTACCCCTATATCGTACGTCATTAATGATTAAAAGAATTATGCAGTTAGGATTTCTCAGTAGTAAAATAGTAAATGGATTACCGATTGATAAATCCTGGTGTCGTTTAGCAAATTATCGATGTTACACAAAAATGGCACAGTGTATGCGGAATGACCTAATAGTCTCCAGCTGCACAGGCTTAACTTGACCCTACTCGTGGAGATCGATAATTTTGCGGAGATATCACCGAAACATGGTTACATTTATCAACCCGCATGTCTTTACTGCGCCGAACACGGAATTTGCATCCAACGTGTCGCCTCCTCCAATCGTCTGTTCAGCCCCTAACCCCATTCACCCCCCAAATTCACAACCCTCACGCTGTCCAGCCACACAGCATTTACCCCTAAGTCACGGATACAACATGCTGCCTCGGCCGATGCGCTCCAACCACATAATCGTGCTGGTTGTGCGTACGATGTTACGAATGAAAAAATTAACTGCAAAAAAAGGCATACGGTTAGAGTAAATGAATGGGAATAATAATATTGAAGTGATGTTTAATATCGAAATTCAGAAACCTGTGAAAAATAGTAGGGTACCGTTGATAGCCATGCACCCCTCCAGCTCATCGACGTCGTACTGCACTGCGCCTAGCGTCGCGACGCAGGAAAGCACAGCTTCCATCGCCACCTCTTCATTTTCACAGATCGATCCGACCGACTACTGACAGGAAGCGAGACCGATGGTCTGGGTGTTAAAATTGTCTACCCTAACGGTGTGCGTAAGTCAGGGGTTGTTCGTGCAGTCCGCAGGAAGAATATAGTGGAGTCGCAGTAGCAGCAGTGCGTTTGATTGAAATATTCCCCAAGCGTAGAAACGATCTTGGTGTTCCTAAACATTAAGATCATCAGATATTGTGGACTTGGCACGTCGGGAGGGGGCAGATTCCATAAATATTAAAAGCCTTCGTACCACGAAACTCATATGTTGCGTTCATCAACACGGCCATTTTGGGTTTATATGATCCTGTAATGAGTAACGAGAAACACATTTGGCAGCTTGAACTCACGAAGACCTCGATTTATGAAGCAGCCCAGTGTGCCCAAAGGAATTCATTATATCGTCAACGTATGTCATATGACATCGAAAGCTCAGCCAGAATGCACGCAAACGATTTAATCGAATCCCATGCGTGACTAACTGATGATTTTTGTGTTTCAAAAAGTGTCTCGAGAGTAACAAGTTCTTGAGAACACAAGAGTCACAGTGAGAACGTTCATTGAATATGTGGACCAGCTGGTTCGGTACAGGTACTTTCTATTCTGAGTTGATAATAACTAGGAATTCATTTATAATGTTCTTTAATACAATTTCGTACCTACATACTAACAACCAAACTCAGTTTTTAAATGTTTCCGCGTTTTCTTTCGCGCATGCGTCATTGGTAGGCATCCCAAGCACATAACCTCTATTTAAATACGGAATTAAATTCATGTTAACGACATTTGTTATATAAAGATTGGTAATAATAATTATTTATTACTCTGGAATATTATAATTATTAAAGAAGTACAGTGTGTACAGAAGCAAACATAAGGAACTTATGAATTTATCCGTTTCAACTGTGAAATTAACGAACAAACTGTATTTTCTAAGCGTTAGAAATAATTTACAAGATTGTTTTCTCTAGAATAAAACCTTAAAAATGTGCATAATGAGGTGACTATGAACAAAATCTCTTTCCAAGTAAACGATCTATTTATACTGTTTGGGCCCAATCTTTTCCGAACATTGTCTGGTAACTGTCTGTAATCGGTGTTTCGAATTCAAAACAACCGTTATTTTATTTAAAAAAAACTAGACCGTTGCTGTCTCTGTGTAACTCAAAATACTTTTACAACAAATAAGCAATGTTGATTTATTAATCTCGAGTCTGCGCCGACTTACAAATCCATTTTTTATCGCAGAAAGTATCATCAAAGATAACGATTGATATACACAGTTTACCTACGCAGGACGCATGTACTAACGTGTAACGACAGTCATTAAAACTTACGTATTCACTGAAATTACTGATTTCAACTTTTGTTCGGAAATAAAATAGCAAAAATTCGGTGCAATACAGGTTCGTTAGATTACACTATTTCTCGCAGCGAATGCAAACTACAAATTGTAAACTGTAGTATCATAAATACGTGTAAAATTAACTATTCCATTGATTTTATAGATTATATTCACAAAGTGAGTATGTCCAGGAGGAAACTCGGCGGTAACAAACAATTCGACAACGTGGATTACACACAGCTTAGAGAAACTGACACTGGTTTTGTTGATTCACAGGTAAGACATATTGTTTAAAGTATGGACAATATTGATAAGATAAGTAGTAAGTAAAAATAATTATTTGTAAGTTTGTGAATCCACCTGTAAAAATACCATGGAAAGCCATTACACTCGCAGCTCTTTTGTTTGTTGGGGGTACTGTAATGCTCATCATGGGTAGTCTGATTGTGAGTGGACACATTGACTCAAAAGTAAGTAAAAGCATTCCCCTTATATACTTGTACTACTTCATTATGATATACAGTTGTCATTTATCTTTTTCCAGTATTCTGATCGCATGTGGCCAATCATTATTCTAGGGATTTTAATGTTCATACCAGGAGCTTACCATATGAGGGTAGCTATCTTAGCGTATCAAAAAGTGCCAGGGTATTCTTTTGATGATATACCAGAGTTTGATTAATCATGCGTGACTTTTTTCCTAAAAGTACTTGAAAATTTTTACTTTTTGCTAGTACTACATTTGCACCGCATTGTGTCATGCAAAGTATTACTAAGTCTGTTTGCATTTGTATTTTTGGGTCACATATGAATTTTCTGAAACTCACAAACTGACAATCCATGGAAGATGTGCATAGTGTTCGTGAACTATTTATGACCTTAAAACATTTGTTTCTTTTTTATATTATTGGTGTAGATAATATCCAGTACCTATTAAGTTTTATTTTTAAAACGTTCGTACTTAGAACTATTATTGAAGAATTCATTTTATGTGAACTGTTAACTTGAACTGCATTTTTTAAAGTAAAATGCAGTTCCATAGCATTTTGGAACATCACACAAACTGTACAAATTTCTGTTCCACGAATCAGCTTTAAATAAAATCATTTTTTTATACATAGCATTAGAAACGTTTGCAGTTAATAAACTATTTTGCAGTACATACAGGTTTTATATAATTGTAATACCTATAAAGTGTATGAATGGTAACCTGTTGGAATTTCGGCAACACGATAAAAAGAAAGATATGAAGTTGTTTAATTCTATCAGTGCACTCAATTGCAATTACATAGTAGTTTCACAACGTCATCAAAACCGTAAAATGTAAACATTTGTACGTATACATATATGCTGTAGTTCCAAATGCAGTTCATGGTTGCATAGCAAGCATAGTATATAAGCTTGCACAGGTCCATTGTGTAACATATTTTAATTCATTGCAAGATATTCAACTTAAATTTTATATCTTATACCGAATAGGTTATAAAAATAAAACATTAAACAAATTACATTCATTATGAAACTCATAGTTTAAAAATGAAAAAGTAATATAAAACGTTGCGTTGATGATTACTTTGGTATGATTAGAAACAAAAGTAACACACAGTGGTCCATAAAAAAAGTATAAACAAAAACCCTGAGCCATTGTCATTGCGATTAATAAAATTAAATAAAATTCTGATTAGATTGTAAATACCTACGAAGGCTGGTGCCATTTAACTTTTGCAGTTTACCTTTTCTATTCTTTACCATCCAGAGAGGCGGATCAAATTGTTTTTTGAGCATATTTTTCATTAGTATTGTACTTTCCCTGATTTTATTATCACACCGCTGATTCATTCCTTCGTTACGATTGAGTTGCCTTTCCGATGGAGTGCTCTGCAAAAAGAAAAGAAGCAGGTATTCACTTGCCAAAATCTTGTAGTTGTGTTACAGTGTGTTCAACTTGCCTCGAAAAGAAGATACACTGAAAGTTGTTTTGACTTAATACCATTGATCGTGTGCCCAATATTTGTTGAAAGTTGTTGCAGTAAGTCCAAAATGGTAAGATACATTTCTTCGTTTGTCCAATCGGACTTCACGATGATATACGTTGCTGGACAAAACTGATCAATAGTAATAAACAATATCTCATTCTCGTTTCAAAAAAGTTTACAATTCCATTTTTATTCTCACACAAACAAATGAACGTGCGTCTATCTGACCTACCTGCACTGTAGAGTATATACCTAAACCGATTGCATTTTGATGCAGCTCCTTAGCTAACGTTAAGTTTATGCTCACTAATGAAGCAATCAGTGCACGGTAGGTTATCGCATTGAGTAAAAGATTATTCTTATTAATCAGTTCTCCAACACTGACGATCAGGTCGTGATCTTCTTTAAGTAATACCAACGAGACTATTTTATTCACATGACACGTCAAGTCTAAAAGAAGCAAAATGAGTTCGATTTAATCTCTACACAGCTTATTAACTATACACATAGTAAACGTTCTGTTTAATGCATTCTCTTACCTACTGGATAATAATTGCTACTCTGATCTACAATTAAAAATTTGAAAAGGAAAAACGCGTATTCCGGAGACGTTTCGCAAAATGCGTCTAAAAGAAGACTTATTATCTGTGCCCTAATATGACCATCCTTCTCATTATTTCGTACCTTCCATTTATTACGAGTTGTGTAAATAGTCTTACTTTCTGGAAGAAATAAACGATTTGAAATAGATCCGATTTCGACGTTACAACTGAATCTTACCGAAATTCCACGCGAAAATATACTTAAAAAATATGAACTGCTAACTCACGCTTAAGTAGAGCGAAAGCTTTCATAGGTTTTTGATTCGCTAAATAAATTTCTGCAAACAGTAGGATAGTGGCGGCGTCGAACTTATAAAAACTGTTTGACTCGTGTAGCATAATATCGATCTCTTTCAGCAACTTAAGTGCTAAAACCCAAAGTTCCCTTTCAACCAGATCGACCAGAACATGAATCGTGACATCGATTAATATTTCATAAAAAATAGCCGTTGCCCCGGTTCGGACTGTAATGTCCAAAAAGATAAAACGATGTTAGGTGTAACTTCAAATAAACGTCCAACGTCTGTTTGCAATATTTATATTTTATTCAGTTAAACCTTAAGATAAAAGTTATAGATAGAGTTACTTGTGACATCTGTTTTATTGTTGGACAATAATTTCATACTAAAACTGATCAATTATCGTGTCTTTATTTTATATACAACTACGTCTTTATTAATTTGGTCTATAGTTTTCGTCGGCGTATAATACGACAAAGAATTGTTGTTGACAATAAAACTTTTAAAAATGAAAAATGGTAAGAAATATTCAAACAAGTTTTGTTCTCGTAATATAATAAACAATAGATACATATATTTCCTTAAGGTAAACTAACAGTTTCAAAATAGAATATTCTAGTTTTAACATACCGTATAGTGTCTATACAAGTAAACTAATTTATTTCGCTGTAAATATATTAAAAACTGAGCTATCCTATCCTGAAACTTCGATATAAAATAATGTTCATCGATGATAAAGTACAAAAGTTAAGATATGAAATAACTAAAACGTGTATCAAAAATTTTATGTTATGGTGGATTTAATAATTACGAGGATTCAGTGGATTATGTTTTACCTGCGGTTGAGACAAGTTTACTCAAATGATACGGAAAATGCTCTACTTCGTTGCGAAGAATTTGGTAAAAAGCGCGTGTAAAAACGGACTTCTGTTTTTCGTTTGCAGAGTCCAGAATTGCCTTAACATGATCATGATCATTATGCTTTAGCCCTTCCTGCAGACTATGAACGTCAAGGTAAAACTTCCAAAACCTTTCTCTACCATGTATCGAATGTGGTTTAGGTAAGTCATCTGTCACATAAACATAATTATGAAAATAACATACCTATATTCATTTGTTCACACTTGTATAATATTTTTGAATCACTTTCTGAATCATACCTATTGGATGCAAGACGGACGAAGAAGTTCTATTTTGTGTGTTATTGTTATTATCGCAGATCACGTTCTTCCACACTTTTGGCGAAATCGTGTTAGGACTTTTATATGTAGTCGATAGAATTTCCGATTCATTTATTCCATTACTTGGGTCGGGTGATTTAATATATTCATCGGAAACCGTTGCTGCAGTTTCCTTCACCACTGTGTTTTGGTCTGGGCGTTTGAGTAAATTATTAAATCTCGACAATAAATTCTGATTGATCAGTTTGTGGGTTTCATAGTTCAGTTTACTTAGAATATTTTCATTTATGTCGTGAACGTGGTCCCCTATTGTTACGCATTCATTTAAAATAATATTGATAATTTCGGATTCCACATTTCCCACTCGTACTATTAAAGTTTTCATTGTACTCCAATATTTACCAAACGCAATATATTTCGATATTATGCCCGATATCCAGCTCACGAACTTGGTATCGTTGTCGTTTACTATTTTGTCTAAACAGTATACGATTGTTTCTATAGGAATTCCACGTTTTATCAATTGTCCAATACTATTTCGATATTGGGCGTCATTGGTACGATTAATAATATCTCCGTCATATAATTTTTTTAATAATTTCAGCGTGGTAGTGATATGATTGGTACATACAAATGCATTGTACAATTGTCTTAATGTTTGGTGACACATGTTTAACAATAATTGATCTATCACTTCAAAAAAATAATTTTCATTGATCCTAAGTAATCGTTCTAAATTTGGTAACAACTGCGCAATAATGAAAATATGTATTATTATGCAACGATTATAATATTAATACACAATATAATTATAATCAAATGTAAATTCTGTTAATTATATACATACGTTATGGTTAAAACGGCAATCTTGTTTACTACAGCTGGCAAATCTTACATAGTGAAAACAGTAGCCTTTAAAAATATTTGTAAATAATTCATTATTTTTTTGTTTCACAACATTTGCAGTTTTATGTGTCTGTGGAGTTTTAAAGCTTGACCCCCATAGTGTCTTTTCGTTTTCCTTCAAAACATTAATTGTACTGTTACTTATATTGTTCGTATCATATGCTTTATTAAATTCAGAGGAAATGTTTTTATAATAATTATCGAACACATTATCAGACATAAAATATGGCTTCTCAACAGGCAAAGATTTAGATGTTAACTTTTGTTGAACAGGTGCAGCTGGTTCATTGTATCTGGAAAAATTAGTGAACAATATTTTTCAAATGTTATAGTCAACTAATTTTCTTATTAATATAAAGAAATTATATACTTACTCTTCCATCAGAATTGAATCAGCAAACAAAGAGATACAATCATCTTCATCATAGTTTATGTTTTCATTATTAGAATTTGTTTGAACTGAAAGTAAACAAGTATTCTCTGGAGGTGATTTACATGATTCTGTCACTACTTCTTCAGATTTTCCTGTTTTTTGTACTGTATCATACTCTATTCTGTGAATATGTCCGATAGTTTCAGTTGAAGCCTGCTCTACTGATTTTGAAATACCTTGCTCTTTATTTAAGATCATTTTTGTTACTTGTATGGATACTGTATTATTATGTTCTTCAACACTAATACTGGCTTCATTATTACTTGTATCTACCGAATAAGACTCTGATCTAACACTATTTAACTGTATAATTTTATTAGAATCTTGATCTTTGCTGATTGTTTCTTTTTGACTTTTTGAATGTGTACACCAATTATGCCTATTCAATTTTACCTTCTTTACACCTACCCTACTAACATTTTCATCTGTGTACGAACGTTTCTGTGTTTGCAAACTTGTATTTGCATGCAAATGTCGCTGCATATTACATGTTCCATTGCTTATTTCATTACTCTTTCCTTCAATTATGCTTTCCTGCCTAAGTAAACTACATTCCTCAGTATGATCAGGAGAATCATTATTATGTAATGTATCAATTTTCTTTTCCATGGTTATTAGGTTTAAATTTCTTGATACCTGGTTAGTATTAATAGTTAAATCAGGTGAAGAGTTTTCAAAAACAAAAGATGATGCTTGACATGTAACGTTTTCATAATAGTCATTAACAAGTTTACAGTCAGGATATATTCCTGTAATTTCTGTTTCAGAGTTATTAGTTTTTTCCACTGAAATATTTCTTACAGAATCAAAAGTTTCAGATACACTAATTTGGGTAAATTCATTATTTGGTATAACTTTGTTACTACTATTTTCTATGTCAGTTGTAATATTTTGAGATAAACTGAAGCTTTCGAAATTTATTCCTTGTTCCATGGCTTTATCATTAAACGATCTTATAGTTTTATTATAATCTTTATTTTTTTCCCTTATATTCATTCCAATTTCAAATGTATCCTTTGGTAAAGCAGTTTCACTAGTAATAGTTGATGTTTTCCTTACACTCATACATGAAATGCTACTTGGTGAACAGACATAATGTTTTGCTTCCTCCATCAGTACTATATTTTGTTCTCTATTTGCAACTTCAGACACATAACTCCCTTCTGCAGTTTGATTACTGACAGTGTGTGACTCCTGTTCATTTGTAACATTATTGTTCAGTATACCTCTTATAGGAAAATCTACTTTGGATAAGTTTACTGTATCTTGTAAATTAGTTTCAGAATCTATGCATCTCATCTTAGTCTTAGACTCCCCTGTTATGGTCTTATTATTACTTTTTACAACAGACTTATTGCATTTCCAAAACCTAATTGAATCTACTTCTAAATTTGTGGTAGTTACATGTGTGTTATGTTTTTTTCTGATTAAATTATTTTTTTTTAATGCATTTGTCTTAGAATTTTCTAGTATTTCCTTAAAATTATTTATAATATTTGAATTCCTGTCATGCATTGTAATCCTTTCCAAGCAAATTTTTAATTTTTTTCCATTCCTCAATGCTTCAGCTTTCAAATCTGCTTCTGTTCGAACAATAGAAAACCAAAGTAACATGTTAAAAATGGTTATATATTTCAGATATAATTCTAATAATAAGAAAGTAATTAAAGTAAATTACCATGCTTTTTTTGCTGCAAGTTAGATGCAGGAACATTTTTTTGCATTCTTCCTGCAGAACTCTTTGTCCTTCTCAAGAAATTTTTAGAGACAATTTTCATATCACGTAACAAATCATGTCTCTTTATATGTTTAACAAGGGATGGATCATTTGATTTCTTTTTCTTATAGAAACCATTGGATTTTAACCACACGTGTACCTTCTCATTGTAACTCATATAAGTTGTATAGCTTGTGTTGCATTTATTTTTTAAATAATTATTTGGCAAAATTTGTAAAGAATTACTGTTCGAAGTGTTTTTAAATGTTGAACATTTTTCTAAGAGAATAATGGGTTCCTTAAAACCTAAAATGCTTTCATATTTCTTTTTTAACGCATGTGTACCATTACACATATTTTTATTAACTTCTGAATGCGGTTTTTTAACACGTGTATTAAACTTCTTTTTGATACATGAAAAGTCCCTTGTTGCCAGCATTTTTCTTACACCAATACAAGATAGATCATGTCAAGACTAAATCTCACAATCTGTTTGCTAAATTCTGTCTACATTAAAATAAACATAACACATTCATAGTTCAAATGAATATCAATATCAAACAGTAATTACAAAAACTACAAGTACTAATCAATGAAACACATTATAAATCCTAGAGAATTATATATAAAAATGTTGTACAAGGTAAATATGCAATGGAAATTATCAATACAAAACCCCTAATTCCTAATACACAATGTAAATCGATTGAAATAACATTATGGTTGATAATAACGCAACAGGTAGTACTCGACTTCCAGTCATAAAATTGATATATCATTTGTTTAATTTCGACGCTACCGGACACCAATAAACGAAATCCATAGTATTAAATATTAAAGATACGTTTCGATACCATAAACAAACTTTCAATTTTTTAAAGTCCTCACGGACGGTATCACGTGTCAGACATGAACATTACTGTGCATTGTAAGATTAAAAGATATTCTTACCGGTTTTTAGTCATTTATCAGGAATAATTGGTCCTCGCTCGTCATATTCGTCAGTCCAAATGACTAGAAACAACTAGGAACTCCCAAACACGGTATATTATTCGGAATTTCGTGAAAATACTCGTGTATGCATGAACCCGCACGCTTCTACGTCTCACCGCGAAAATATTCAAGTGCCGCTGCGAAGTGCGAGAATTACAAGCATTCGTGTATCGATATATCGATGTTGGTAGCAGCGTCCAAATGGTCAACGAGTTTTCTACACAAGAAGTTTGAATCTCCGCTGTTTTTAAACAATTTCGATGGCATATAGATCGTAATTTTCTATGAAAATGGAGTAGTGGTAAGTGCAGTTGGTTACGTCATTTTGCTTCCGCCATAAATGGTTAATATTAATTGTCGATAAAGTACATATTCGATGGAATTGTTTATTTTCATGCAATATTGAACGAGCAGTACTCTTTTTCGTAAAACTTCACTAGCTCTTCTGAATAATTATTCTTTGTTTATACGTTTATCATTTTTTCATCACGAGTACATTTAACTTTTAACACTTTAGACTTAGACTCTTAGATTATATGTATAACGACGAAAATTCGGTGCTACATTGTCTTTTAAGTCATGGTCAGGGGTTCCCAACGCAATGCAGAACCTTAGTAACGTGTAAAAGGCATATTTTAGTGCCAGTTCGAAGTTGCGAGAATCAAAACCATTCGTATCGATATATCGAAGTTGGTAGTAGCGTTCAAATCGTCAACGATTTTTCTACACAAGAAGTTAGAATCTCCGCCTTTTAAAAACAATTTCAGTGGTATATAAGCAACAAATGTATATGAAAATGGTGCTATATTGAATCTGAACCGCCCAATTTCGATAACATCGTTGAATCACTACTTCAAATGTAGTTGGCGACACATTACGAGATTTTGATTCAAATTCGGTAAGTGCAGTACGGTTACGTCATTTTGCTTTCACCATAGATGGTTAATATGAATTGCCGATAGAGATATATATTCGATAGAATTGTTCATTTCTTTGATTATACATTCGTCATTTCTTTATACGACAATCATGATCTAAATTCTAAATTAACGTCTACTATAATGCGTGTTCATGAGTACATTTGACTCTTCACACTTCAGATTTTAAAGCTATAATGGCTAAAACTCAGTGCTACGTGATCTCTTAAATGCTTAGCCATAGTCAGGGGTTCCCAATACTATGCAAAACCTTAGTAACGTGTAAGACACATATTCTAGTGCCGCTACGTAATTGCGAGAATCAAAACCGTTCGTATCGATATATCGAAGTTTGTAGTAGCATTCAAATCGTCAACGATTTTTCCACACAAGAAGTTTGTATCTCCGTTTTTTGAAACAATTTTGGTGGTATATAGGTCGTAAAGTTCTCTGAAAATGGTGCTACGTTGAACCTGAAGCGCTGACTTTTGATGACATCGATGAATGACCCTTTGAAATGCAGATAGCGGCAATTGACGAGGCTTCGATTCAAATTCGGTAAGTGCAGTTTAGATATGTTATTATGCTTCCGCCATAAGTGATTAATATTAATTGTCGATAAAGTATATATTCGATGGAATCGTTCAATTTCATGCAATATTAGACAAACAGTAGACTTTTTCAAAAAGCTCCACAAGTTTTTTGAATAATTCTTGTTGATACATCACTCAGTTATGTACGATTTCACGATCTAAATTAACATCTATATATTGTGTTCACGAGTCCATTTGACTGTCACACTTTACATTCTACAAATATAACGGTTAAAATGTGGTGCTACGTGATCTTTTAACTTTATCTATAGTCAGGGGTTCCTGATACAATGCAGAATCTCAATAACATCTTAGAGACTAATGCACTTTCCTATCGGATTTCAGAAAAAATAATGCAGGAAATAGAATGGAATTCCATTCGATCCATTTTAAAATCATACTTTGTCCATAAATTATTACACAATAATCAAAGGCAACATACTTTGAGTTACTTGACTTGAGAACACCCAGCCGATGGTCCTATTTGTGAGACAGATAAAAAAATAATGGAATAGCGAACGATAAAAAGAAAAAACAATAGTATTATAGAATAAGTGAGTAACCAGATGTAGTTGAATAGAAACAACATAAAACATATGAACAACGTTCATTAACACTTTGAGAGACAAACCAATATCCACCAAAATTCCGCAGAATTAAAATCCTTTTATCACAATAATTATTTTTTCTTGTGACTTTGTCTAGTTTTCTTTCATGTCTAACTGTAGGTAATTTTTCCCATTTGACCAACACAGTGGCATCCATATGTACAATACATGGGTGACGTCAGTTAAAAAGTTAAAATCTACGAGTAATTAAAATCAGTTACTTAATTATATTAAGATTCACTAACAGAAAAAGATTACTGTTCCACTAAAAGCTATATCAATAAAGAACACGACGACGGAGTAACGGTTTCACGGGAGAAAGTTTTAGGGCGACAATTTTAGGGGTCGAGTTTGTATATATTTGTAAAACGCGCGATGCACTCGAGGAAGAAACACTCGAGTCTGCGATTTCGTCGGCCTTCGGAACAGACCTGACAGAAAAAAAACCTGAAATTAAACAGCGGTGAAAGCGAACCGCTTGAAGTGTCGCGAGGCGAGGACTTGTCTAGCATGTGTGGCCAGTCTCGAGGGAAGATTAGTCACAATAGCCCCTCGAGAAAAAGGACGCGTCTTTTTCAAATAAACGCTAGGGTTTTTGGGAAACACAATGGAACGGTTATACCGTTGCCACACGGTGTCTGGAAAAAATCATTCGAACGACAGAGGCCATAAACCGTTTCATTCGCCGGAGACACGTGCAAAAGGCATCCTTCTGTGCGCGGACTACGAGCACATTTTATTTTATGACCATTACCAGTTAACCGAAAAGTTAATTTTGCCTGCTAGCCTTTTGAAACAGCTTTTCATATGATCCTTTGGAATTTAGAATTTAAGGTCACCCTTGGTGGGCTAGCTAATCTTGGTCATTTCCATCTGCATTCTATTTCAATTTCCACCTCTCGGAACTAGCCATACTTAACTGTTTAATTTAATAACTCCTATTAAATATTCAAGATTCACATATACCGTACGAGTTACGTAATAAGAATAATGTTAACGGCAAGATTATAGTTAAATGATCTTTATTCGTACAACGGACATACAAAATTAGTCAGTCTATTCTTAAGTTAAATATTGTAAACGGTATTGTCCAGATTATTATAAGCCATCTGATCGTCGATCCAGTTGCGTAACGAAGCAATATTAGCATAGACACCTGGAGTACCGCTCTGACCGCAATCGATTCCCCATGCTACGATGCCCACTTGCTCGTACCTGCTGGGATCGTTTCTGTTCGGGCACATCAAAGGACTTCCTCCGTCACCCTGAAGAAGCAAATCGCATACGTCATATATGAAGTATAATACCATGCCGCTGTATGAAATTTTTAGAGGACTTAAGCTGTGGTAATACCTTGCAAGTGTCTTTGCCAGGCTCTCCACCGGCGCAGATGAAACTGTCGTGAAGACGGAAATATTTTCCTAATCTGGTTTCGCGTAAATTACTTTGGCATCTATCGCGTGGAACGATCGGCAATTCAATTTTCTTCAGGATTATCTGGTAGTGACCCTGTTTACCTGGAACGATCATTACGGTCAGGTACCTGCGGTACCATAAACGGTGGACTTCGAGTGGAAGCCTATTGTTCCGCCAATTAAGCTCGATCAGGACGGTCAACGAATATATTCCAAACGGACAACAAACGGAGCAGCTGGTTTCACGATTAAACGAATAGAATATAAATGCACTTACCGAATGTATCTTTTCCCCAGCCGCTGGCGAAGCATCGAGATCCATCGTAGACGGTATTATAGTCTGGCAGGCATATAATATCGACATTCTCCGCGAGTTCAACTGGCTCGGTTAAGATCAAAAGAGCGACATCGTTGTAAAGAGCACCGGAATGATATTTCTCATGGACGATCACCTTTTGCACATTGCGGTCCTGATGGGGGAAGATCTCGTTCGCTGTCTGCGTGTCCCATTCACCCGCTCGAATTTTTATTTCGTGCGGTTGTTTCCTGTTTAATGGATAATTATCAAGATGATTGTTACAATGTGTAACGAAGGCATGTTATTAACGACTGAAACGTACCCTTGCACGCAATGAGCAGCTGTCAATACGACCTGTTTATGGATCAGAGAACCACCGCACTGGTACCCGATTAACTTCTGATTACCGTCACCGATCGTCAGTTCCTTCAAGATTGCCACCATCCACGGGAACTCACCGAATTGAGCCTCGTTTTCGAACCCGGTGATCCGGAAACCAACACCGTCAGGGTGTCGTTGTCCGCAACCCTTTCTTTGGGGGGGACGTGGCGTAACTTGTTCTCCAGGTTGGAGCACGTCTGGCGTTTTACAGCAGTGGTCCAGGTAGTTTGGACAGGTGCCGTGGCCTACCCTATATCGGTAATAAGATTAAAGAGATTATCGTTTACAACTCGTTCAATCGGATAATAGAGACCTGTGTTGTATTTATCTCGTTGTACTCGACGAGATTATAATTTTCTAGTGTTTGATAGTCGTTTACATTTCAGAGTCGTAGGAGATAATGATGTTCTAAACGAAATACATCTAGAGAGAGGAGGGAGTGCATCCAAAGCAGTCTTGTGTGGAGTGCAGAATCAGAAAATAGACGATACATCGTGTGAAACTCCTAGTGTTCTTGTTGTTAGCTGATGAATATTTTCACGTATGGTATCAATATCTCCAGATCGATCTTCAAGCAAATACGCTTGAAAAGTTTGTGTTCGTTCTGATCATAGAAGTTATCGTTATTAGTCGTGTATAAATTTCATACAGACAGGCGTTGATTCTGCCCTTAGAGACTAGTCTTTGAAAAACTCACTCATCGTTGAAACCAGACCTAATATCAATTAGCCCAATTCCGTCTTCCAAGACGGTCCCGTTGCGACAAAGATAGTACGGCACGCATTCGCAGTCGTCCGGCAACGGTTTCGGCTGGTTCTGAGTTCCTACGTAAGTCGGCGACGTTGAGGTCAACAGATCCGAGATCATGGAGTCCAAATCACCGGACTGTTTTTGATCGACGGGCGGTTGACCGTCGGGAGGGGGCCCGAACACGTTCAATATCGTGGCATCCAGATTTGCGTTCGTTTGTTCTTGAGGCGCAGCCAGAGAATAACTGGCCAGAACCAGAGTTAACAATAATAGTTTCCACATCGTGATGTTTGAGGTCCTAGAACAGAAACAGTAGAAGATTTTGTAGAATCGTAAAAAATATGGTGTACAGTCTCTTGAACAGGCATATGTGTTTCTTATTCGAAGGATTAAATCAACTATTTACGGTGCTTACATGAAACGAGTATTTACCAATAGAATGATTAATTAGCACTATTCGCGGTAACGACGCCGCGGAAAACGATTAAGATCGTGAGAGACTATCAATTCAACTTCAAACAGTATATATATTTTTTTCAAATATAAGTGACGATGACATCACAGTCTCGTGAACGAAACCGGCGATGCAATTGAGCGCGTGAGTCCTTCAAGATTGAAAAATAAGGAAATAAGACGCGCGTCCTATTAAAATTCACCTGACGACGATTCCCCTCGGTGGTTCGACAATATGATTGATAATAATTAATCTAACGTTATGGTAATGCCGTACATCTACAGAGTTTTCCGTATATTAATGATTTCTCAGGCTAAATATATAAATAAACACGGAAATTCGTTGTAATTGGAGGCTGAACACAGACACGATAACGATGTGAATAAATATAGCGTTTCAAATTCTTGGTATTGATGGTTGGATACAATCTACGATTTTTCAAGTATGTACCATGGGACGAAACAGTACAGTTAACTTGAGGGGTTCAAGGTGATCAAGTTTGTCGCCGAAAAAGCTGCATTCTCGACTTGGCCGAGAACAGAGAAGATTTTAACCGAAAGGGCACGTATTATAACATGTGAACTAAATATGTATGTATAAATCTCCTCGCAAATGGTTAAGCCACCGTATATGTACAGTCGACTCTGTTTTCCTGTCTGGAATTTCCAAGACACTTATCACAGTCGTTCGAAGTGAACAAAATAACGCGTGTGCTTTGCGCGAGTCGATGGGTCACGCTACATATCTTCGAGTAGAAATTATCTATCGTTAGATTGAGAGAAAACATAATATTATTCGTTGCCGTCTCGACGATAAGACGTAACTAGAAGCTCCTGTCAAATTTAGCGTATCGGTCCTCTCTCTTTTTCCTTATGGAGATGTGATCACACATTATATAAGTAATTAACATCGGTTCAACATCCACGATTAAAATGTGCTCGACACTGACCTTTACCGAACACTGATCGACCACTGATCTTACTATAAAAGTACTAAGTTGGAAGTTACAGTCACGTGGCTTGATTGCCGCCAGATTCCGTTACGTTAATTCTACCAAACGAATTCGAAAATAAATCGAACAGAACAGTCCAGTGCAATTGTAATAGAGAAGGCTAAAGATGACAAATGTTAGTCGTCGTAATAAGTGGTCTCTGTAATTACCGAGTATCGGGATTATTGTAAACATCGCATGTCAAAAGAATCGACAGAGCTCACAGTATTCGCAAACAACGACATGTTTACTTTCCGAAGAAGGAAGCGAGTTAACAGAATTTTCATTGATCCCACGTGCGAAACGACAAGCTCTCAGTGTCCAAGCAAATCGTCGTCGAACTTCGAAATATATACCGAATAACGATGGATCACTCACCGTGTATCGATTCCAGTTGCCAAAGAACGAGTTGTCTCTTCAAGGAACACCGCACGATTGCGACGTGCCGGACACCGGATTCGTGATTTGTTCGCTTACGCACACAGCAGCCAGACGTCCGGGGAACATATATAAGAATCTCCCCCTCCCAATCTTCACGTTTCCTTGATTCCTCATCGCTGCCGCGGACAGAACATGTATACTTATGCTGGGTTGGACGTTCTTGGTCCAACTGACGCGACGCGCGAAAGGTGGTATTCCCCGTCTATTACACCTACCTCTGGCCATGGAATCGTTACCGATTTCTCGGAAGCTTATGGAACGGTTTAAATTATTTTTCCAGCGAACCCCCTGGAGCAGGCTTACCCAGCGGGCCGATAAGACGGATCGCGTGAATCACTCGATGGACGTCAAGAGTAATTCTCTCGCTATTGGACCCTACGCTGGGTAAGCCGTAAGGTTGACATTAACCAGAACCCCTTAAGACGCTACACAATAACCAAACCATCTGTGTGTGGTCTGTACCCTGGTGTCCAATCGTTCAGGCCACGTGTGCATACCTACCCAATAAACGGTTTCCGAACGTCCCTGACACGGAAAACGAAGAATCCTTAAAAATTGAGGAAACGCCAATTTCCTTGGCAATAAAAACTTTCTTATTGCCGGTTATATTCCAACGGCACCCGTTCTAACGGATTTCAACGAGGTTGCCCCACGGAAATTTTGCTGTCAATAATAAAATGTACATCGCGAGAAGGTCGTTCGTTCTCCAATTCGCACATGAGCCGGCGAGCCTCTTAACTTTTGCGCATTTAATTTCTGAGGACGTTGCGCTCGGAACGTGCCAAGCGTTAAGCGCGTGGTTTCGTAGAATTCGCTGGTTTTATTGTGTCAAGGTCAAGGGTGAAACGTTTTCGCAACAATTTCGGAGTACACCGATCGAAAGCCGGTCGAAATCTATCGTTTCGGTAGATTCTTTGTATGCTGATGAAGAGAGATGCATAATACGAACGCGAGTTTGATTTATATATCACGCGGCAGATGTCGCGAAAGTTGCAACGATGCTATCGGGCACAATAGTTTAGACGTCGCTTTAGTGAAAGAAAATGATTGTGGATGAAAAATGAGGTCACATAATTGAACTCTATATACCTGGGACAATAACAGAGTACGGAAAACTCTATGTAGATGAAAGAATTGTTTCGAAAATATATCTCATTACCTCTCCTTTCCTCTACTTACTATCCTGTAGCAAATTTGAGTATAGGCAGATATAAGATGCGACAGTACATACAGAAAATATGTGTGTAAGAGTGAAATAGGAATACCTTTCACACAATGTTCTCTGTCTAACAGGCCTGCGAAACCTCCAATATTCACAGTTATTGTTCCAAATATACAGTTTAATGGGTCACATACAATGCTCCTAATAGTCGTCAACGATGCATGCAGATTTTCTGATAACTCGTATCTTTTGATTCGCATCAGGCTGCCGCGACAAGCGAACGTTACGATTCGCGGAGTAATTAAATGATCGAACATTGGGCACAATATTCGCATGAATGTACGGTTTCACTTTCTAGCGCGTTATTAATTTCAATCATACGCGTTCAAGCGATACTCGATGCTTTTTACCAGGAAAATCTTTAAGGTTATGTTTCAACCTGCATTAAATCCGGCTATTTATATGAATTAATAATTTAAATATTACGCAGCTCGACAAAATATTAATTGACGTAATCAATATGTATTATTATAATGTATCAGTAAGGGAGGGAAAAAAAGTAATACTTCCATCCGTGACAATGTCATATTTGTACACATTGCCATGACCAGGATTCGAACCTGGGTTACTACGGCCACAACGTAGGGTCCTAACCACTAGACGATCACGGCTATTGGAAGAGTTGTTCTTTCAATTCAACTTTTCACATGACTAGCTCAACCGAAATGAACACACGTTACGTGACAGTTGTTTCGTGATGTCGCTGTTAATTACATCACGAACATAATAATCTTAGAAGTGTTTATGTAAAATACGATTGAAACTCGGGAGATTTTGGAAATTCCAGGAACATTATTTCGAAACGAAATTTTGTGTAATTTAAACAGAATTTAATAGAATTCTCTGAAAATTTGATCATACATTAAATAATTGTTTCGTAATCTATACAACGACGAAATTCGTGGAACATGCGAATGCGTAAACTATGGTGCACTTTGATCTCTGGTGTCTAGCAGGTCTTATCACAGAGCGATTAGATTTGTACGTTTCTTTTCGAATGTGTTCAACTGTCGACCTATGTATACATTAAATAATAATTTCTAAATTACAAATCACTAATGTTTAACTGTAACAACGAGGACTAGATCTATTGAAAATACTGCTCTGGCGACAGGTGAAGATTCGTAAAAAAAAATTACGATCCATAAGTAGCTAATTGTTGATCAATCCATTGTGTGAATTGCGCGACATTCGTGTACACGGCGGGTACATTGGATGCTCCGCAACCGATTCCCCAAGACACGATGCCAGTCTGTGAGAAAAATGGAAAAAGAGCCTAAATTGTGTTCCGAGTCGTCATTCTGTTATAATAAAAGCGTTAATTCGGTAAATGTATACCATTCCTAGTCAACGTATGCACTTACTAATCCAGTTAGTAAATGTATTCTCAAGAAATGAAATGTATACTTTTACTATTAAATGTATTTACATTTCTGATTTAGTCAAAAGGATACACAAAGAAAAAATGTATTAATTTCACTAAATACTTTGCTAGCATTTGTTCATATGAATCATATAACTTATAAATGTTGGCTTAATAGGGATGCGTCTTTACAATTTATATACATAGGTAGTTAATTTCACGAGTAAAAATCGTTTAGGTTATATTATTAAAATGAATAAAAACAGTATGAAGGAAAAGTTCTATGAGTGTGTCCGAAGATCAGAAGATCCTAATAGTTTTCATGTATGTCAAGCAACGTACTTAAATTAATAGACGAAATCAAAGCTGCTGAAAATGGAAGTAACAAAAAAAAATCGTAACTATTGGTTTTTACGACATTATGATGTTGTTACTATATAAAAAAATTATACTTTCGACATTATGATTTTACTAACGTGCTGTAGGAAATGTATGCATTATATAGTAAATGAATATATTTACTAAAAATACTATACATTCTTATCTCCGGTTCATATTTCTGCTAAAATTATACTGGCAAGTGTATACATTTACTAAACTTCGAGCTTTTACTGCGACATATCCACTATTTTACCTGAAAGTATTGTCCCGTTGCCGTTAGATAGACGAGGGGTCCTCCACCGTCTCCGCTACACGTGTCCCTGTTTGCCTCACCGCCTGCGCACGTGAAAGAGCTGTGCAATTGAAAGTACGGCCCTAACTTCGTTGTCCTGAGTCGATTCTGACAATCCGTTCGATCGACGATAGGAAGCTGCACCTTGCGTAGCTCGGTTTGATACGTGCCCCCTACACAATTATCAATTTAATCAATGATTTAATTTTGTTTTTATTTTATCTCCACTTATAGCTACATTTTATCTACTCGACATTAGAAACTATTTATACATTTCTGTTATTTTATCAACGTATGCAATGAAAATGTAAACAAAACGCGAAATCGGATATTACCGAATGAATTCTTTCCCCAGCCTGTCCCAAGGCACCTGGTACCAGCCGGGAAAACCAGCCCCTGTTGCGGTATACAAATAGGTGCCACGTTTACGCTGTTATTGACCGGCTTGTCCAAAATAACTACCGCTATATCATTGAATAGTGCACCGCTGTAAAACAACGGGTGGGTCACTACGGTCTTCACGTAGACCTGTTGGTAGGGTACTGGCTGGTTGGTGCTTTCCAGGTTCAATTGACCGATACGCGCCACCAGTCTACCGTTGTTTCGACTGACAAAAGATTTTTCAAGCTCTATTAAAAAGAAAAATACCGAAAATTCATCTAGAGATTCGTGAAATGAAACTCACTTAATGACACAATGCGCGGCTGTAAGAACCGCTGTATTGGTGATCAGAGATCCACCGCATTGGAACAGATATTTTCCATCCGTTTGCAATGCAAGCAAGGCGACCATCCAAGGAAACTCCCCGAAATACGTTCTGCCGTTATCCACGGGATAGGGTTGCGCTGTGAAATCAAATAACCTTTCAACATTCCCAAATTATTTAAATATAATCAACGAAATATTTTGTTCCATTTTTGTGTGTATTACACGAAATACCAATGATTTACAAGAACATTTGAACATTTTGAAACCGTCTAATACCGTTTTTCATTCGTTGCGCGATTTGGCAACTTTTTTACTTTTATCACAGTTGTATGTACACAGGGTTGGTTCACCGAATACTACCACTTCGATTTACGTGACTCTTATTATTCGTAGCGAAAAATGATTCACGTACAGTTGTGTAAATATAAATCCAAATGGAAAAATCTGGTGAACCATCCTGTATAACAATTCCCATTATAATAATATTATTATAATGATATTATATTACAAGACCCCTTAATTCCCAGAAGACGGATGGTCTAGTACTGACACGACAGACGAATGCAGGGTCATTTCGACCCACAGTAGAATTTCCATTCTACGCAGGTTTGAAGAGGAAATTATGCATAAAATTTTATGCATATCTTCAAGTTCATATTTCACCTTTACATATAACAGCAAAGAATATAGCAATAATTACAGATGGGTTAAAATGACCCTGCATTCGCTGTACCCCAGTTAAAATACATAACCATACGGCAACAGTGGGAATGAAAGGGATAACATAATGCGCGAAACACGATTGTGCGGTTCAATCATCCTTCCTTCAGGATTCATCGTTTTACCTGGTGAGTACGTCGTGTTCTGAACACCGCATCCGGGCTGCGAGAATGACGCCTCTCCGTTCACTATATTCTCTGATAATCCATTAGGCGATTCCCGGCGTCGTTGACCGACGATAGTCCCGGCTCGACAGCAGACCTCGTCCGCGGATGGGCACGCAGAGAACCTGGGGTCGATGGCGCCAGCCCCATCCCAGCTGACCGAGTTACCATCGGAGCACAGCCAGGTCTTCATGCAGTAACAGGCCTGAAGGGTGCCTGGATACCTAACGGGCCCGAGAACCACTGGGATCCCATTCGTGTACAACGGATTCACCCCGCCGCAGCAGGTGGCGGGAACAGGACAGGCTTGCTGGCCGTAAGTCGCCACGGGACTCGCAACGCCGACGTTAACCGGGATCACGATCCCATTGCTGCACTGAATACTGCTACCGCACAACACGCAGATTTGCGGGCTGACGACCGGAGGGTTGGTCGGCGGCAACTGTATCACGCTGGACGGTCTGCAACAGACCTGATTGCTGCTGGGACACTGAACGTACTGCAATCGTGGATTGATCACCCCTTCGCCCGACGAGCCGATTACCCCGCTCGGATCGCATTGCGACGTCAGAACACAGACGCAGACTTGGGTGAATGGTGCCTCTGTATTTGGGAACACCACCGGGGCAGGCGTGGTCGTGGTCGTTGTTGTAGTCGTCGTGGTAGTTGGTTTCATAGTTGTCGGTTTCATGGTTGTAGTAGGTGTCGTAGGCTTAGATGTGGTGGTTGTCGCGTTCACCAGGGTACAGCATACTTCTTGATCCCCTGTGCATCTTCGGTACCTAATGTGGACGGAATTGTCAGATTCGTAGCCGAGAATCTAGGCCCTAGAATGGTGGTTTCTAGCGGAATCAGGAGGGATACACTTACCTAATATCGATCGTTCCTACTTTATCCGTGGTGACGGTACCATTAGCGTCGCAGAGGTAGTAGGGCACGCAGACACAATTCGCGGGCGGCAGGGTGGTTTGGATTTTCTCGATCTTCTGAATGTTTTTCTTCAGTTTCAGCAAATGGAGGAGGAAGAACGGGGACGATTCTCTGTGAAGTGAATCGCTGTCCGTCTCTTTCGTGGCCCTCTGGCTCGGCCCATCGAGCGAGTTTGTTATCGAGATCGTTACAGCCAAAGCGACGACGACGTACGTTAACGCGAACAGCCGCGACATGATTTGTGTGTTTCCTATCCACTGGCTCGGTTCCTATTGAACGATTTTTAACGCGACTCCGCGGGTTTATGTGGACGCAGGATGTGTTGTATTTCCTGACGGGTTGGGAATGTCCCAGGTTCAGATAACAAGCAAATTGCTTTGTTTGCAAACACTTGGTTGCATGGACCGATTCTGAATTTCCCCAAGCTTGTAATTTTTATGTTGACGGTAAGGTGTGAAACGGTTCTGAAACCACCTTTTCAAACTGTTATGTAAAGGTTCCGACTGAAACAATTATAAAGAACCTAAATTTCAGACTATATCAGTTGCAGTTAAGGTTCTTATATCAGGTCCCGTTTTAATTCTATACCTGTTATTTTGTAGGTTCTGTACAAGTTCCAAAATGGTTATAGAACCGATTCTCTACAGAATTTTATAGTCACTGAAATCACAATATGTTGCGCTTATACATTACTGTATACATACATATAAGCATATTTCGTGCGAATATAGTATGGTAAAATTTTGTTAAGCAGTTAAAAATTTATATTAACGAACAATATTCATACTACAAAATAATTATATGTAAAAAAATGTGTATATATGTATATATTTACTTACTGATTTATAATAATTTTTACAAAATTTTCCTTATACATAGTAATCTATACTGTAATCTGTTGTGATTTCATTTACTGTTGAGAATCGGTTCCACAACCGCATTTTGCAACTTGTATAGAACCTAAAAATTAACTGATATAGTATGAACTTTCGGTTTTTTATAATAGTTATTCAGAATAAAGGTTCTTTATAACTGTTTCGAGAACCTAAATCGATAGCATAACAGTTTTCAAGCCATGGCTGGACGGTGCGTCGAGCTCGGGACGGCTTTATAGTTTTTATTTCCTTGAATCATGTACCTGTAAGTTGTCTGTGATTATTTAATGTTTAAGGAATATTTATCTATTTTCATTGTAAATTTCGTCACTGACCAAGCGTGCAAGAACGATTATTCGAGCAACCCGTCGTAACGAACACAATAGACGACCTACTTACCTAGTGAGCGACAGGAAAACGTTTAGATGTATTACAAAGAATCGCAGACAACCGGGTGATGACGAGATTTACACACCGTTCACGATGAGTAACGCGAAAGAACCATTTAAAAAAAAAAAGAAAAAATTCCACAAAACTGTGTTTGGCATCTACTCACGTGAAAGGAATAAAAATCAAGCATGTAAAAAGTTTCAATTCGATCGGATTCGATACGCATTCCATCGTGATACGTTTCTGGTGACTAATTAGCACAAAGCGGAGAAGCAAAGTCTAAGTAGTCTACCCGGTTGCAAACGTACGAAGCAACGATGTGTGCTGCACGAAACGCGGACACTTTCTGTGCAACAAGCTCGTCACGCGATGTTTAATGGCTTGCCCGTAAAACGTCTTTTTTTTTTTATTCTACTCGCGTACCACGTGCCACTGATTCTCAACGATTAAACCTCAATCGTTTCCGCTGGTGTAGAGTAAGTAAGTTCATTTCGCTTTTAATTAACGGAGGCATCGATGAAAAAAACGATTAAAGGGGTAATTTGTCAACGTGATTTTTGCGAATCAATTTAAAGAAAACGATCAAACCTAGCAAGCTCTTATTTTGTATATAACTTTATATATGTTTAATGTAAAAACACAAATTTTTGCAAGATATTTTATTAACAATTATAGGAGGTATAAATTGGCCCAAAGGTTATGTCACGAAAAACTTGTCCCATCGGACGTTCATTGTGTCCATCCTAGTCGTCTAAAAGAATTTTATAAATAGAAATTTTTATAACTGTTCTTTTTCAATACTTTTATCGTTAAGCTTGCGAATTTTGGTAGCAATCAAAAGTTGAAGATTTTAAGATGGTTCTCTGTTCACCCTTTTTATCCTTCTATAGGTTCGACAATTTTACGAATTTCGCCATGATGCTCCAGGAACACATTTTTAAAATCCCAAACTGATAAAATGCAAACAAAAATGTTTTTTTGACCGGTTACACAAAAACACCCTCTCAACTCGATGATCCGAACAATGGAAGTCAGTGTCTGAAGTAGAAGTTGTACAAGGATGGAGGGTAAAAAAAATGGGGATCATAATATAAATTGCAAATATACATTTTTTTTTCAAACATCAATAATCATCATACAAAATTATTGGACTACATATGCTTAAATAATAACACGCCAATGTAACATAGTAATATAACAACATGAATGAGAAGAAATATCAACGAGATATAAATATATATAACATATATTATGGCGGCAGTACGCAAAATGTACCTAAAATTACAAAAATACAATGAACGGCGAGCACGCGGATGTCGTCAAGAAAAAGATATATATCGCAAACGACGACGGTTGAGAATTCGAAAACCAAATCAAAATCTGATTCGCGGGAATATCGAAAAAATAAACAAGCATCATCTGTAATCATGAGTTAATCACAATTATGTCGACACGTTTTTTGTACTTTTTACGCGAGAAAAAATGTGTGACTCTCTCGTCCGATCGTTTTTGGAAAATTTTCGCTCGCTATTTCAAGGATTATTTGGAGTACACAGATCGCGCTGGAAAATTAAACATTTGTACAATTCTGGTTATGGAACAAAACGGAAGGTGTGTTAGGATATATAAAGTCGGTGAAAACTGAACAATTGGGAAGAAAAGCTCTGCTCTGTACCGGTAAATATACCACAACGGGTAAATAACCGTCGGGAGAATTTGTTACCTTCGTAATGTCGGTGTGGCTAGCGATTATTACGTTATCACCTGCCTCGCTCTTAATCGTAAACCGCGTGTCAGATTACGGTAACGTCATCTCGCGTTTTATTGCGAATCATTATGCTCCACACGATGGCCACGGAGAGACCACTCTTCTCTTTCTCGAAATTATTTTCATACTCGACGTTACTCGTGCAACTGGACAATTACACGAGCAAAACCATTTTGGTTCTTTTTTTTTTTCAGTGAAATAATGGTCAATTCGAACTATATTTTTCTGGAGTATCTGAGGCAGCATTCATGTTTCGCACAGATTCGATATCACTATAGGTAATTATAATTTGTGTAGCCTAAATTAAGATGTGGTTCTTCCTTCGCATAAACGAAAATACTAATATCAGTTGGGATTACACGATGTCGAAAGACCAAAAACTACAGGTTAATTTCGAACCCTTCACGATCTAGCGATCTTTCTTAAACTCGACGAGAAATTCTCGTAGACTGATTGTACGTAAATAAAAAATAAAGGTGAGAAATATAGAAATCGCAAAGGGTTTTAATAACAAAGTAAGATATATATATATAATATGAACCGTTATTTTTTGGTTTCGTTACTAGAATTCTAGCTACCTTAGGAACTCACCCTCTATCTCGTACAGTCAACAATATTCGACAGTCAATAATCCTTACTCGCTAAATATATATCCTAACACCTAATACCGACAATTGCTACATGAATATATAATATTGCATATAAAAATAGTAAATGTATTCTTAATTTATAAATCCCTATCAATTCCAATTTCAAAAGTCCCTCAGATTCGAAATTCGCTGGCAAAAAACACGCCGAGGAGAATTCGCGCGATCGTGGAAGGCACACTCTTTTTGCTCGTATTGTGTACTAATTGAGATCGTTTAAATTGCACAAAGTAGCGTTAACGCTCCTCAAAACGGTCGAGTTTCCAGTCTCGACGATTTGTACATCCACAAACGCCGTGGACAAACACGGCTGGGTGTGTACCCCTGTTTGTACACAACTGTGCAACTGTTCGGTTACCAATTGTACAATTTTCATCGAGTCTGACAGTCGAGCAACGTTATACGTATCTCTACCGAGTATCGAAAATCGAATAGACTTTTGTAAATCCCGTTTCACCCGAAACACCCGTCTAACTCAACATTCTGCTCTCCCGAAATTTCGAGTTAAACGGGACCCGTATCTTCTGCCTTATCCCGTAAATCTTACACACTAGGAAATATACAATATAGAATAATTAAATATTAATCGAGTATCGATATTCGAAGTATTTAGAAAAGTAACAAACAAGCCGAACCATAGACTCGACAGGAAGAAGAACAGTTTTCCCGAAGGAAAAACAGTCACGCGGCGGCGGTTTGCAAACACACGCTTGTTGATTTGTTTTTTTTTTTCTACAATCAGGTGTGATTTCGTTGATTATCAATGGCGGAACGCTATTTAGGGCGCGGATAAACCGTTCCAGAGAAGAAAAAAAAAGGCAACTGCCTGAAAAGAGCAGCGATCCGACCATCGAGCCATCCAAGTTTCGCGGAACAAAAGAGAACGTAAACACGCGACGACGGTTTTGGTGTACACACTGATCGTGGCGACCTTCGATGACCCGATGGTCTAATACACAGGAACAGAAGCCTTCGAAGAACTCGTGTAACGTATCCGTAATCCTAAATCGGGGTTGCCATTCGTCTTATCTACATTATTCGGTCTCTATTCGACATTTGTATATCGGTTTAATCATCGTTAAATGGATTTAAAAAAAACAACAACAATGAACGAGCGTTTGCAAACACTCTTGTGTAATCATTCGATCTTCCAGAGACACCGCCGCGCGCCTTGATTCGACGCTTACTACCAGATATTTAAGATAAATTTTTTTTATTTAAAAAAAAAAGGAACTTTATCGATCGCTTAGGCCCACCAAACATCGAACTTTCAAGCATCGACGTTTTTCTTTCAAGGGAAAAGAAAAAGATCTTTTTTCTCTCCCGTAAACTAAGCGAAACTGTACGCACCGTAGTCTCCGTATATTTCTGCGAGAAAGTCTTATCAGGTTATTAATAAAACAGGACTACGTTCCCCTTCCCTTTATAAACACACGTAGACAAGAAGTCTTTCCTTCTATCCCCTAATTATTGTCTAGTGCAAAGTAATTACCTCGAACTTAACGCGCGGTTAAGTTGAATTCTTTGCGCCGTGTTAATCGTAAGCAAGATGAAAATGTTGAAAACTTCTGGAAACTGGCCAAATCAATCGTATATATGTGTGTAAAAGAAAAAAGAAGATAAGACCGGGAAATGTATATCGTTCGTTAATCTTTCATGATCTTGCCAATGTCTCAAATCTACGGTCTCTCCGTATTATAAAAAAGATAGTATTACACGCATTATCACAGTACTCGTTACTCTTCATTAAATACTGTTACACGCCCCCGTTTAAACACCTAAAATTCTTATCGAAAAAAAAAAAAAAAAAAAAATACCATTTTCTACAAGTAAAGATGTCCTGCGAATCGTTATGCCAGTGCATTCAAACTCTGCCAAGGTCAATTACGTGTAAAGATACGTACACACACACAGTTTAAAAAGAAAAAGAAATTAAGGAAACATTTTTTTAGTATCAAATGCTGGCTCGAGTGTAAAAGACGAGATATACACGACCTTCTTCGCGCTGTCGATCTCCTACGAAACGAGTCCCTCATTTCGTAAAGAAATAAACGAAGTGCATTCACCGATAATACATATATGGCACTACAGAGTATAAATAGTTCTTACAACTATGTAAAGATCTTTGGGATGCAGCCTCTAAAAGTTCTCTCGACGATGCCTGTCTTCGTGCTAGATATCCGTCTTTTTTTTTCTTTCTAAAAAACACCTTCTGAAATTTCTTTCACACTTCGAACAAGGTATAATCGTATCGTACGATTCGAGTAAGGATAAATACGATATAAGATGAATATCGTTTCAACGAGGAAAAGTGTAAAAGAAATTTCCTATGGTACGATGCGATCATCGAACGGTTGAGGGCAGATCTACCGCCAAATGCGATCGATCAACGAATGGTAAAATATTTTGTCTTGCACGAACCCCGCTCACGAGGAGCAAGGTGTGTCCGAACGGATAATTCCACGGGCAAATATACTTGTTTTGTTTTTTTTTGGTCCGTTTACTTCGAAGAGTGCAATGGTAACGATTACCTGCCAGCAGATGATACCAAGGATCGCTCGAAGTTGTCGAATTTCTTGGGGTCCGATCTGTGCGCGTCTTCGAGGGCCCTTGACGTAACGGCCAAACCCCCTGCGTGTTTCTTCGTTTATGGCACCACAGAACGCTATACGTGGCGAATGAACAACAGGAGACACGTGCTGATTTACCTAACTCGTCGTTTGCCCATCGAGTTTCTCAAGAGCTTGAAAGCGTTCACCGTCGTCAATGTCCCAGAGACAGTTTTGGGACTCAAGGTACAGTACTTGATTGTGTGGGCCTCGTCCCCGGTCGCGCCGCAAATTGGACACGTGTACGCCCTATACAACAGACGAAAAAAACGGTGTGAATTACAGGAGAGGTCTCCTCTTAGGAATGATATATTTGACGGGTATTAGGAACTTTTTTTTTAGACCATTTTCCAACCACTTAAGCTGCGTCTACACTACACTGCGTGGAATAACTACAAAACCACCCAAAAAGTTTCAATCCTTTTATATTGTGATTGAAATAAAAATAAACGACTTTTTCTAGGGAATATAATTTATCCTTTTCTGGAGAAACGTTATTTCTCACCACGATTTTTGACATGGTATATTTTGTTAGTTTTTATTTTAATCACAATAGATAAGAATTGAAAATTTTAGGGTGGTTTTATAGTTATGACATGCAGTGCATCAAACAAAATAGTGTTATTTGAATATTAATTAATACAGTATAGATTCGTCACTTCTACAGAAATGAATGATGATTTTATCGGTACACCGGATATACTTGATACAGATTGCATTTAAAATTTTGTGTAATTAATCTACCTTAATACAGGACAGGAGACACGACCCTCGGCGTCCTTCAGTAAATGCTCCCTATAATAAGTCTCTTCTTCCCCGTTGTTCCTACAGAAAACACATTCTGTGGGCAAGGGTTTCTTGTTCTTCTTGCGTCGCGGCGTTGTTTCCGGTACAATATCATTGTCCAGGTCTGGACAGTATTCGAAATCACGGCCATTATGGCGAAACTCCTCCATTACATCTTCCACTGCAATCAACAAGTTATATTTCATAAAAAAAAATGTATATGTATAATAGTAAAAAATATTTTTAATTTGATTTATTTATATATATTATATATATTTTTAATTTTAAAAATATTTACAGCATTAAATCACTGTATATTCAATTAGTCAGGCTTCAATTAAAGTATGCTTTTCAACCCCATTTGGTCTCCACAATTCTCAAAGTATAAGCTAATGTTAGAGACAGTGCAACACAAATTTATCAGATACATCGCGATAATTACATGATCTTCAACACAGATTTCCATGATCTTGAAATATGTTATCAAGGCCATCATTTTGAACAACTTTTCCCTATACATCCAATTTATTCAGTGCTAAAATCAACTAATAAATTTATGGATATAATCGATTTTTTTATTGGCTCTATCGATTTATTTTACGAAATCATTACATGAGGCACTCAAAACTGTTTAAGTTAATGTTGAATTAAAAATTCTATGATTAATTCCTTATTGTAATACCATGTTGCTGTTTCTATTTTTATTTTTCCTTAATTTTTATGTATGCATACTACATTCACACCCGTATAATAACTAAATAAATAATTTATTAAAGACATTTAATAAATTAACGAAGAATATCGTTTGGTTCTCACGGATCAAGTTACAAGAATTATAACAGTAATATCTGGACAATGCTGGACAAAGGTTCCAGTAAAAAAAATTATCTGATCGACGGATCATTCTCCGTTTGTATCGTTTATTTTCGTGGATCACACACGATTATTGACGGAACCGTAAACCCGAGAAAAGAACGACCGCAGTATAAAGTTTCACAGTTTGTAAACAGAATCGTCCTCTTTTTCAAATGACGCAGAAACAAACCAGGTCAACGCTTAATAGAGAAACAAATACATGGTATACTATTGTTATATGTAAGTGATTTAAAATCCGATCATAGACAGAAAGAAAACATTTAATTACACGCGGATACAATGATACTTTTTCGAAATTCAACTGTATATTTTTCACGAAGATTTTCGTCACAATCTTGACTCGAACTATACAGGGTGGTTCACCAGATATTAGATACCACTTCGATTTACGTGACTGTTATTATTCGTAGCGAAAAATAGTTCACGTAGAGTTGAATGGTTTCAGGAGGGACACATTCGGATATTAATAGATTAAAAAATAGAAAATAAACCATTCAACTCTACATGAACCAATTTTCGCAACAAATAATCACGTAAATCGAAGTGGTAATATCTAGTGAACCACCATGTATAATTACACATCATACGTTCGTGTGATCTAGGATGAAAATATTTCTTTTTAAGAGAACCGAGGTTTTTTTGTCAAACACCGAAGACATTTAGTAGAATTTTTGTACATTGTAGTGCGGCGAACTAGATTCAATAAAGCGGTTCTAGGAATTGTTGCCGGTGAGTTATTTCACCCGGCACGTTTTAGAACACAGAATTCCTCTTATCGATTCCGTCTGTTTACAAACTATGGAAAGGTGTCTGCCAATCAGATCACGGCTCGATGACGCACAATGAGTTACAGCTGGATTACACGGTTCGAAAGTGAATCGTGTCCCTCTACCAGATATATGATCGATATATTATAATATTATTTTACACTACTGCTGATTGTAATCGAAATCTCGAGTCACGTAATTGAACGTGCTCGTTGATCGACAGAGAGAAAACAAAATGGGGATTCGAGGAATCCCGAATGTTCACGGCGCGCGAACGAATAAAAGGAACAAAAATCTATATACTCTTGGTCGACGAGTTTCATCGTGCTTCCATGGAAACAAATGATCGTCGATGACAGTTTATGGCAGGCGAACCTGAGGAGTCAATACAGCGAACAAGAAAGCCTGTGTATACAAACTGTCGACCACTTTTTCAACGAGTAATAAATAAGTCGTATCTTCGAGAGACAATTTTGCTGGAGAACTGAACCCAAGTAACCAGCGTCTAAAAATTATACATCTTAATACACTGGAAACAATTGAATAATCAATTTCTCAACAGAAATATTTAATATAACGACGCATAAAACAAATATTCAACATGATTTATTCACGAACAAGACGAGGATGGTCATTTAAACGTTTTAAGACAAAAAAAAAAGACACTAATCAAATCGGCCACAAATTCTTAAAACAAAACGTCGATCCAACGTTTGTACTATACGACACGTGTGTCTGCCCCCCCCCCCAGCAAACTTCTGAATACACATTCAAACGAGAAAGGAAATTATTAAAAATTACTTACCGTTCGGAAGCGGCGGCATCTGGGTCTCGATCGTGAAATGAAACAGTCTTTTCAGTTCATCTTCCAAGCTGGTGTTGAACGGATAATAAAAATTCGACACCTGCGGCACCAGGAGCTGTTGCATGAGCGAGACATGCATCGTGATACGATGATCGTCGCGGCGACGACACACGAAAGAGACAGTAAAACAGAGGAAATACCAAATTCAACGGAAAGAACGCGCGTGGGAGGGAGAGTGGTAACCGAGAAACAAACTGCGTCACGAAGGTGTCAAATGGTCAGAGGGTTGGAATGATCCACCGCCGTCAAGTTTCGAAATTCAACTGCCGAAGTTGGATGTCACCGTCGCCGTGACCGACGACGATCGCGAAGAAAGGGTCTGGTAGTGGGGATGTAGCCTCCAGTTGGGCCCCCCGACATCATAAATACATGAATCCAGCTAGGATGGAGAGCGGCTAATTTGAATTAGCCCTTGCAGCAGAGGCTCCCAATGTCGGTACTGGTCATTTCAAGGCCATTCGACAAATTCACTTTTATTGTACTTACGACAAAATGGGGGTTGAGTGGGGAGGGTTGCTTGGAAAAGGCACACTGTTCTAAACATTTATTCGTCCTTCCTATAGTGAAGAACATTCTTTGGGAGGAAGAACATCAATTTATAAGTTGATAGAGTACGAAAGTGAAGTGTTAAGTTGAAAACATATAAGAGTTGAAGTAAGTGTTATATATTATATATATTAGTGTCTCGTTTCTTTAGACCATTAACAGTCGAATAAAAGTACGACTTGTGGTAAAAAGAAAGTATAATTTAATGTATAATAATAATAATTTAATATATAATATATAGTTTTTTCGTACCATAAAATTGAACTATTTCTATCCATGATAAAAAAATAGTAAAAGACACGTTTTTCACGTATTTGTTTAGAATTCCATATATTTATATTTATATATGTATATTAATTTTCAAATGCACTAGGAAACTGTTTACAATCACAAAATTTTTTACTAAGTTTCACCAAAATCAAAAGGTAGACCTTTTCGGAATCGCAGCCTCCAAAATGATTAAAAGATATGGTAATTGTGCAGTGTAGTGGCTTTTCTCACTTTTAGCTATAAATATTTCGGAAAGAAAGCCCAATCTGTGGTAACATGTACAGGAAAAAGTTATTAAAAATGCTGAATTCTATAACGTATCCAAACGTCATTGAAATCGGTGCTGCGTGTATACTTCCGAATAAACTCCCACGCATTTTTAAACAAAAATAACAAATGTACATTACTTTTTCTACCTCTTCCGCTTGATTTTTCGTTTTAAGTGATAGAATGAAGCTATTTAAAAAAATCCGCAGTGGAATAGTTAAAATTGAGAAAACCCGCTAAACTGCACAATTGCCAAAGATAATAAAATTTGTATGTGAATACTTTTACAGTGTATTAAATCGTTATCACATACCTATGTATTCTTTCGTTGTGAAGTCTACAGCTGAGAAGAGTTAAAAAATGTTTAGCTTTTGTAATTATGCCATATACAAAAGGGTAGTTGTCGTTGTAGAATCGTTAGAAGTTGTTGATCTGTTAATTTTCGCGGCCTCGGTGATGGGTGCGGTCGACAAAATTTTATTCAAACAAAATCTATTTCCGACTAAAGGGAAGGACTTTGATGAAGCGTTTTTTGATGTTACCGCGTAGCGGCCACGGCGAGATACATTGTAACTCAAGGTTAAAACCAGGCCACGGGGCCAGATATCTTTTAGTTTGTTTTTTCTTTCTCTTCCTTTGCTGGGTGTCGAATTACAGATGAATATTGTGAAAATACGTCTTGGGGATCAGGAAGACGCGTGTGACTGACGTGACCGTGACTTCTCTTGGGGGGAACGTCGCGTTATCGCACGTCGAGGATCGAGAATCTTCTTTTTCGGCGAAGGGACGAAAAGAATAATAAAGAGAGTTAAAGAGGATATTCACTAATCTTCATCTTTATTGTTACTGTGTAAATATGTAGGCACTGAACAAATAATGTTTCATAATTTGTTTACAAACATTTACATTTACTGATCTCCGTTTTTTTGTTCAATCATTTGAATTATTCTCTGCGAGCAGCTTGACGACGCTGGCCAAGTCCGCTTTTAATCCCATCTGCTCGAACCGTTTTCTTTTTTTTTATTCGTTTTACCGCATTTTTATCGTTTTCCACTTTTTTAATAATTCCTCCTTTTATAATCGTTCGTACGCGTAAATACCGTTATCGTCTTTCATCAGCATTGTATGCACTTAGACCCCAATTTCTAATTACGGTCTCGATATCTCCATTCAATATATATATATAATATATGCATATATATATTTATATATATATATATATATATTCGCTTCGTTTTTTCTTGTATGTATACGTTTTTTTTCTTTATCTCTATTCGCTAATATATTGTTCTTCTAGTCTAAAAATTACCACGATTATTAAAGATAATATATACTTCTGGGAAATTATAATTAAAAATAATTGTAAATATAATAATATGTCAAACATATATGTCCTTGTGTCCGTGTGTAGTATGAGTGTGAGAAGGGAGGAACAATGGATAGAATGAGAAAGAAAATGGCGAAACGAGGTAGGGAGGGGTAGGTAGATAGGAAAGGAAGGGAGTGAAGGGCCAGAAAGGACGCGGATCGCAAAGGAAAGGAAGAACTAGATAATAAACACAAATTCTAAACTTTGGCTAATAAGAAACAATTGTTCCGCGCGGTGGGGTCGAGAACACGACGCCGATTCCATCGATCACCCTAATTTTAGGGCACGTCGTCGTCGCGTTCTCGGACGATTTTTCAAAATACCATTGTGTATATACCATATATGTCTAAGCGAAACGAAATCGATCACGAAAGAGTCTTTACCTGACAAACACAGAGGACGAGAATGAGATGGCTCCCGTGGAACAGGAAATTCTTCGAGTATGAAAAAAAAAAATTTATCGAAAAGAAATCCTCGAAAAAAATCGGACTTCTTGCAGATATTACAGCGTAAAAGAGAATAAAAAAAAAAGAGGAAAAAGGACGAAAACGCGGACAGAAGCGAATGGGAATATGGTATGAGGGGGGTGCGGGTGGTTCGAATTGTTTCGTCTTCGTGTCTTTTTTTTGTCGTTTTTATCGTCTAACCGTTTCAGCCTTTTCTTCGTGTCTCAGGTATAAAACTAAACGGGCGATAAAGCCTTCGTGTAAAACTATACTCCATATACTTTGTTCTCTCTCTATTGTGCTCAAGTGTAACAACCTCGTCTTCTTCATTTTTTTTTGCTATACATGCGCGTTATTATGTGTTCTGTATGGTTTTTTGTTTATTCTTTTATTACAATGTTTTTTACGTCGACTTCCCGCTCCTTATGCTTCGTCTTTCTTTGTATACGTATACACACACAGAGGGGTCGGTTTCCCCGTGTTTATTTTTTTTTCTTTGTTAATGGAAAAATTGACAGAGGACTCGATTGCGTTTTTGTTATACATGAGACACTGACGACGGCGCTGCTCCCCACCAAAACAACGAAACACCACCATACATGGTTCTCTTCCGTTTTCTTTGTTCTTTCATTTTCTTTTCTTTCTTATCTCGCGTTTTTCTTCAAGATTCCCGGTTAATTCGACCCACACAGGCTATTTTAATTGTAATTGTCCCGTTTTTAAATTACCCACGTATCCGTCGCGATGAGAGGGACATATTCTCATACTCGTTTCGTTTCCCCGGTTTTCTTGCGTAATTTAATTTGTAATATGATCTTTCGTATATGTCGATGTCGCGGTGGTCCGTTTTGGAATAGCTATAATAATAGTATTATAAATATATTTATACGTGTGGTAATGTGTGTCTCCTCCGCGTGCGCGCGTCCCGTGTGCACACACACACACACACGCGCGCGCGTACACGTATACAATATAGGTCCATGTGAATATTTTCATTTTTCTGCTTGTTTCTCTCATTCGTATGAGCGCGTGTGTAATGCATTTTTGTATGTGTGTATGTAGTGTGTGTGTGTGTATATATATATATGTATAATACGTGGTAACGCGTGTATTTGTTCGCGCGTGTATGGCGGTCGTGTGTATGTGTGTGTGTGTGTACATGTGAAATAGTGTGTATACTAGGAATGTACATAGTGTACGTAGATATAATTAGGTTGTGTATAAAACGATGATACATACTAATAATTCATTATTCGTTTATATCAAACGACACATAATTATGATATCGATTTTTTTTTTTTATCATTTAGTCTCATGGTACGATGCGCAACGGCGATCCGGGGGCATCGTTCGCCCACAAATAGGCTACAATTATATAGTCTTGTCCTGTCTTCGCGTACAATGTCGATGTACTTCCGGCCGATCTTGCATCGGGCTGCAAGATCGTCGGCGCCGGCGGTGAGATTACGATTATTACAAGAACCTCCCAAATGAATGGCCATCAGTCTTTGAGTTGTTGTATCGGTCTGGCATAAACGCAATTATGCACACGCGATCTCATCATTTAGCTTAGCTTTGTTTTTTTCTTTTCTTTTCGTCGTCATCTTCTTCCTCGTCTTCTCGTTAAAAAGGTAGCAAAAAAAAAATGGAAAACGACACAAGCAATCGTTGACTTCCTCGTTTGAAAGAAAAAATTAAAAAAAAAAAGAAAAAGTATGTGTCCGACTGCTCGAGCTCCCGTTAAAGTTTCGAAAATGAAAAATCAGTGATCTCGAGTAGCCGTACACGATCTTCGCGACTTTATTGTTTTTTTCTCTTCGTTTCGTTACATTCCGTACATTTTCACATGCATCGAGGAAATTAACGAGCGTGATTTGTACTCTCGCGAGGGAAGCCTCGCATTAAAAGAAAAAAAAAAACAAACGATTGTGTCACCAGATAAAAAAAAAAGTAGTGGTAATAGGCATCGTAAAAGAAAAGGGAAAAGACTAACCCGGTCGTTCACTTGGTGTCCGTATGGACGGCAAGAAAGTAGGAAATTTTCCAAGGATCCATGGGGCCGATAAAAACAAAACGATAAAAAAAACACGAAACGATAAAGGAGTGTGAAGAACATGTATAAAAAAAAAATTAAAAAAACGAAATCTTTCTCTATGTGTATTCTTTTCTCGGTTTTCGCGGGCTCGCGGCCCGCGCTTGCTTTTCAGTTTGTTTCATCTTTAATCTTTCTTTCTTTTTTCCTTTTTTTGTTCGGTGGCTCGACGTTGATCCTCAAAAACATGACCATCCATTCTGGACAATCCGCGTTGATTATTAATATTAAATATTAATACTTCTAGTCGTATACTCTTGCTAGAGTAAAAGTGGTCTTGTGGCGTCCCGATTCGAGGAAGCATCCTTCCACCGGGACGTGCATAGGCAAATACAGAGTGCTTTTAGCGCATGTATTTCTTGCGTTCTTGATATGCGATATAGTACTATAACCTAACAAAAAACTTGTCCTTACATTTCTCATTTGGTATGTCTTAGTCTTATTTTACATAAAAAAAAGGAGGAGTGAAAATAATAATATTAATAATATTAATAGTAATAATAATAATAATGAGAATGAACGAGAGAAAGAGAGAGAGAAAGAAACTACTGGTCACTTAAATGTACAAGCGTTCGGGAGATGAGAGAGAGAGAGAGAGAGAGGAGAGAGAGAGAGAGAGAGAGAGATAGAATGAAACTCGGCGACGGATTTTTAAGTGAAATGAGCGAAAGAGAATGATACAGATCTATCATACATCCTCGACGGTTGTTCCAACAGTTGACGAATTAAAATGTCGTACCGGTGCATGGAAAATGATGCCTCTTATTCGTATAAAATGATACTTATTTACGCGGTAAAAATGATCGGGGTCCGGAGCACATTCGCAAAACTAAATCAAAAGCCCTTCGATGAATTGTCCTACGTGTATACATCAGTCGAACTACAAAAATAAATGATGCGCTCACTAAAAAATAAAAAAAAAATAGTTGAAAGGGGATAGAAATAGAGATAGATAGATAGAGAGAGAATGAAAGAATAATAAAAATAAAAGTAAAAATGTAAAACAGTTTTCTCGCGTTCCGGAAAATACTACTCTGTTCCTCGTCACGCTATTCCCTCCTGGCTCGCGGAGCGATCTATCGTTTAAACATTCTTTATCAATTAGTAGTCAGTCGATTTTTAGAATTTTTCTCTAGAGAAAAGGGATATATATATAT